TTCTCAAAACAAAGTGAAATTTCAACATCTACATGAAATTACTGAAAGATGTTTTCTAGTGATTATGGTAAGGGGTCACCAACATGCTGATTACACCAGATGGACAGAGGACAAAAAGAAAGAAAATTAAGCCACTACTATTTTAGAAATACTGATTACAGTGCTTTGTCCGTTGTCTGTCTGCTTTGGATTGAATGGCTTTCTTCTAAACCAGTGGTTCTCAACCTGTGGGTCGGGACCCCATTTGGGGTCGAACGACCATTTCACGGGGGTCGCCAAACAACGCAGTCCGCCATTTTTTTCCCCTTTTCCTCAGCTGTGCTACTCCCTTTTATTCTACTGGCTTTTGAAAGCCAATAGAATAGACTCTCTTGAATAGAGTCTAATTCTATTGGCTTTCAAAAGCCAATAGGAATTGTCCAGACTGTCTCTGCCCTGCTGAGCCTGCCAAAAGTCCCATTCTGCAAACGGTGCTGCACCAGTTGAGTAGTCCTCGACTTACGACCGGTCGAGTAGTCCTCGGCTTACAACCGGTTGGGGGTCGCGGCATTAAAAAGGTTGAGAACCACTGTTCTAAAGGGTCATATTTGCATTTTGAAAGATTCTTGTCACTTGATGCACACATAGTCTTTTGATTTACTCAGATTAATAGAATACCTAGAAGTCTACCAGATGAAGTCTTGCTAGAGTTATTCACGCTCTGCTAGTTTACTGTTGGGGAATTAAAACATAATACAGGGATAGGACCAAAACAAGAAGTTGAAGGGAATAATGAGAAAAATAAAGATCAATATGTAATTTGGCAGAAACATTCACAGAGCCTGAGGGCACTCAAGAACTGAAGAGCCCTATGTGAGTTGCACATTTTTTGTGCCTGAATTCTAACAAACTTTTGTGGTTGAACCCTGACCTTGGAATACTTTTCCAAAACATTATTTCCTGAAGGGAAACCCTCTTAGTCTAACTTTCTTCACTGTGTGTTGTTCTCAGTAAATGACTTGACTGAACATTTGCCTGTGTGACTTGTCAGCTGACCACTTATTCAAATATCTTTTACATTAAAAGGCTAGGAGGAACATGCCAATTCATGACAGCAATTGGCCAGAAATGAATTATATTCAAACGAATTACATTCAAAGCACTAAGATCCTCTGACAATTATACTACTCCACAGAAGCACAAGAGATTGATGTATTTCATGCTTCAGGCAGAAGCTGAGATTTTTCCTCTTCTCTAGATTTATAATATGTAGAGTTGAGACAGTCCTTATCTTTGAAAATATCTTGCTATTGGCAGAAAAGTGCGTTTTTTTATGGTTTTGGAGATCTGCAGAGAGCCAGTCCCCAACCTTTCCGGCTCTGCAGACCAGTGGTGGCAGAGAGGAGATGGTTTTATGCATGTGCCGCTTGGACAAAGGCAGCTTTGCGTGCTCGCCTGCCGCTTGCACGGCCCTGGTTCCCAACAGGCCATGGCCTGGCATTGGGCTACAGACCGGGGATTGAGGACCCCAGCTACAGAGCAAAACCCAAAAATCTGGAATAAAATCAATGTTTTTATTATTACAATAGCAAACCAAGCAAGTAACTTCTACCAGTCAGACAAAAGTCCTATGTAATACTTTTTCTTAGAAATAGTTTTTTTTTTTTTAGAAAACTGCAGAAGACTAGCAGAAAGTATCTATGAATAGCGACTGGCAGTCAAAAGATATGATGAGAAATCCTTCATCTCACAACACATGGACAAACTCAATCACAGTTTCAACCGGGAAACTATTAGCTTGTAAGAGTCAATGGGGAAGCCAGATTCACTTAACAACTGTGTTACTAGCTTAACAACTGTGGCAAGAAAGATCATAAAATGGTGCACAACTTACTTAACAACTATCTTGCTTAGCAATTTAAATTTTATGCTCAATTGTGGTTGTAAGTCGAAAACTATCTGTATACTCTTGTCTATCCTTTTATTTCTAAATACAAATATTTTTACCTAAGGTAAAAAGGTAAAGCAATGAAAAAACACAAACTTAATTTATTAATATTATTATTAATATTAATTTATTAATATTAGTCGTGCCATTTTCATTCATGATTGATCAAGGCACTTAAGGTGCACTGGCAATTATCTTGACAGTAGCTTGTGGAAGGTCAGTCCCCCTGAGTCCATCTGAGATTTTTCAGAATCACCATCTGGTCAGGTCTACCCTGTTAAGATTCTGGTTCTACCTTTTTTTTGCTCGGCACGTGCAATATGACAATTCTTCCTGGTGTTCATCAGTCAAGTTCATCATCTTTGCCTCCCACCCACTGCCCCATTGCTGTCTGATATGCAATTATTTTGGCTCCCAAACTGGCATTACTGGAGTGCCTTTCCAACTAAGCTAAATAATAAATTACCGTAAATGCCGGCGTATAAGACGACTTCCGCGAGCGCTGAAATCGGCGCCAAAGACGGGGGTCGTCTTATACGCCGAGTCGTCTTATACGCCGGAAATACTGGTAGTTTCCGGTGTATAAGACGACGTTCTAGGAATGCGGCCCGGCTATAAAGACGGGGGTCGTCTTATACGCCGGGTCGCCTAATACGCCGGCATATACGGTATATAATTAAGGCCTATTTACTGTTATGTCTTGCTGAAGTCTCAAGCAATGTTCAGCAAATGTCCTTTCTCCTCATGCCTTCATCAAATAAGGTGAGGAAAGTAGCAATTAAATGATGCTTTATTAATGAAGTTTTATATCTGGTATAGACTTGCTTGGCATCTATAATATGGCCCATTCTTTCTCCAAAATACTTTAAAGTAAGTCATCATCTTACAACTGGTTGCTTAACAATTGTTCAAACTCAAAAAAAAAATACTTATGACCTGGATTCAGAGTAATGATTATTGTATCCCTCTGCAGTCATATGATCATATTTGAGGTACTTAGCAACTGGCTTATATATACAACCAATTGCAGCATCCTGCAATTATGTTTTATGGGACATTTTACAGGTTTTTGCCAAAAAACATAGGATAAGCTGGATTTGGAGTTACAACCACGTGACTCACTTAGCAACCATTGTAAAAATGATTGTAAAATTTAATCTGTTCACATGGCAACTCGACTTACAACTGCAATGACCTATGACCAAAATTCTGAGCTCAGTACGAGGGCAACCTGTATCCCACCTTGTAATATGGATTTGTATATGTTATTGTATATGTTATTGGTGGCCTAGCCAACTGAAAGTATTTAATTCTTTTTGTCATTTTCTCTCTGTGAAAATGTACCCATACATATGGTTTAGAAGATTAGCAAAGTATATTCCCAAGAGCGTATGCCATTTAACAATCTGGATATATGAGTTACAAGGCAGTTGGCAAGTCCACTCCATATAACATACAATATGGAAACTCATAAAGAAACGCAAGATACTGAGTAACTCATTTGTATGTAAATCTGAACTTTTTTTTATCACCATAGAAGCCCGAGGTCCTTATTAACATTTTGCATTTAAAAAGAGATTCATTTTAGCCCTGTCATACTTTGTCACTGAACGTTTTCATCCAGCTTAACCATTATGCTATCAGAAAATGACTAATCAACCTGCATTTACTTGACAACATAAATGCACCTTGTCATGAACATTTCCAAAAGTGTATTTAAGTAAAGTTTCAACAGAGAGTTTAAAAAAAACAACAGTGGACTGAAGCCAGATGTGAATAACTATACCCATTTTATACTGCCTCTGTTAATTCAAATGGAATTTCAATTTGAGAATTCGGGGACAATATGGATTTGCTCAGGGAGAGATATCAATATTATGTTAGTTCCCTGACTGTTACTTACACTCTTATATTTCAATGCTTTTCATTTAGCAAATTTGTAACCATTTTAAATTACAAACCACAATAGCAGCAAATACAAGTTATTACAACTATTTTTGTTATTTAAATAAAAGTATGCTTTTAATAATTTAGTTCCTCATTCTTAGTCATAGTAGCCATCTAGTTGCTGACAGGAAGCCCATAAGATAATAGCACCCTTCTGCTAATGTTTCCCAGAACTGATAATCAAAAAATACAATAATAAAAGTAGTATATATTTATTGACTCCTTCTACACATGCTATTTTCCACTCCATCTTAAGGAAAATATTTAAGCACACAATTTATTAAGAGGCAAAAATGAAACCAAGTAAGCCTAATTCCTCAAAACTACTAATTTAGCCAAGTGGGTAGTTAGAATCAATATAATGCCTGGTGATTGGATGTACTTTTATTAGTTATTGGTCGACTGGCAATTCATAATACAAAGACAAATAAACATGTGTTTGACGCAAAAGGTAAAATCTATGTTCTAGTCAAGATCAGTCCAAAGACAAAGAAAAGCAAGTGTGATATCTTTCTGACATTCCATGTAGCTAAGATTATTGCAGATGAGAGGATCTGAAAAACTGAAGGCTAAAGAATATTAGCTTCTCCATTCATTGTAAAATATTAAAACTGAATAAATACTTGAATTGTGATTTAGTGACAATACCTAACATTTACTGATCAATTTCAATGCAACTGAAGCATTTGGTTGAAGTTTGATTTATAATAATGTACAGACTTCAAATATTTGGTTTATAACTTAGAACAAAATTATGAAAAAATAGCAGGTTGTGGGGCTACAAGATTAAAGTTTTATGCCAATACAGACTAAGTTCTTGATTTTCACTACGGAATCTGATTAATAGTTCCGCAGAAAAGAAAAGCCATATTCAACAGGCAAATTATACCTAAGGAGAAATCTTTTTCTAAAGAGCGTCATATTTGAAAAGTTAAAACATTGTTGATCAATGGTGAGCGCTCTCTTAATTAGGTGCTATATTCTGGTTGCAATGAAGTCAATCTAAATAAATGAATAGCTGTCTTTTTCTTTGTCTCATTGACAGCAATTACATCAAATTCATAGCCTTATTCTAATGGAATACCTCTGCTAACCCACTGAAGCACCAGTTCTTCATAACACATACCTGTGATGGCCCATATGCCTGGCTCTTTTTATGTGTCCAACTCCCCTGCAGCCTGCTGTAGGGCACCCTCCTTGTTCTAAAGCTTCTACTAATTCCAGTGGACCTAGACAAATAATACAAAAACCAACTTCAGCATTAGCTTCATATTTACTCAAATCAGAGGGGTGGGCAATTACTTTTCCTAAGATGACACTGAGAAATGGACTGTTGTGGAGGCCTGCCACCACTCTGTCTCCCCCCCTCCCCGGTGAAGGGCCAGATGTGGCCCTGGGTCATAAAATGCGCAAGTCTGCATTATAATGTAAATGATGACCCCTATGATCTCTTTTTAAATGCTAAATAGTGTTCAAGTTAACATAAAATATTTGAATTACACTGCAACAATGTGATTGGCTCTTCAATCAAATCGTATGAATATTGATAAAACAATGATTTCTATAGCTTTGAAGAAATCCACCTGGAATTCTTTTCATGGGTTAGTGAACATGTACATATTTTCTCTTCTTGAAAATCAGAATACCCACAATTATAAGAGGCTTCAATTATCAGGGTTTCCCAAGGTATCCATTGGTTTCCATAGATCTTGCAAGCATTCACTCTATGAATTATTACTACACAATTTGGCTCTGCCACAGCACATTACTTTGTCAACACAGAAGAAAACTGGCTGGCAAGTATTTATTGTATTTTTTGCATTTTTATCTTACTAAGAGGAGGCTGAAGAGGATGTCCAGTTTTTCCACACCAGCCTGCAGGATGTATATCTGGGATATCTGCATCAATCCAATAGTCATAAATACTGTCCCAGCCATCAAAGTGGATCTAAAACATAAAGATATAGAATGTTGAGACTAAAAAGATTTCCCTTGTAGTCTCAGATTACTTTTTTTAATAAAAAAATAGATTATTTATGAAGAACGGTAAATGTCAAATGATACAAAAGCACATCATGTTTGTACTAATGGTGGTGGTTTTATATTTACCTTGCCAAGATAACAATTCCAGTTATATTTTAACAAGTTCTTTAAATTATGAATGGATGTCTCAAGCTTCAAAACATTTCCAAATTCAATCTTCACGTGATGTTTGGCTCCCAATGCTAAATGCAGCTCAGCTCATTTCTTTTCTAGAGCCTGCCAAATGCTTATCAAAAATGGTCTAAGGTTCATTATGGGTTGTTTTGGCCAAAACCCAGAAGTAAATGCTTGTTTTTGGCAATAACATAGTAAAACATGGTCATGTGATTGCAGGATGCTGCAAATGGCTGTAAATACAAGTACCCCAAAGCCCCACATACAAAATTTCTGAACCGATCATAAATACCTCTTGGGTGGTCAGTTGTAAGTGACCAGTGGTAAGTTGAGGACTACTTGTAATTTCTCTTAACTAAGTTGTTCCAAATTGTTCTCAAATTATTCCAAAGCAAAGCATCAAATGTTTAGATCCTGAAATCCCTGTATCCTAATCACTGTGATCTGTCATTATGATTTATCCTAATCATAATACTGTAATTATGAGCTAAGTACTTTCTTATTAAATTCTGGTTATTATCCCCCAAAAATCAAGATGATGTTGATTGACTTTGTAGGTCTGAAATCACAAACCATGGTTAATTTACCAAATTAGCAAGCCAAGGTGTCACTTCCTTCACTTTAGTATAACAGTGGAAACAGCTGGTACAATCATTTGATTAACACTGAAAACAGTTGATTCTTTCTTCAACTACTGACAGCACAAATTAACAGTGCAATTAGGAGTAAAGTGTAATATGTATCTCCACAGGATGCAAACCTCACAATCCATGCAAACTGACAAAGATGGAAAGTGAATAAATGTGTTTATAGGAGATTTTGGGTGCAAATTTATAGGATGCCTTGGGAAAGTGTGAGATCATCATGTCTAATCACAGCTTGTAGTCCCCTCACATGCTGCTTACTGTTATATGATACAACTCTTTGTTGCAAAAAGACTTCCCATAGTACAGATACCCATAAAGTTAAACATGAATGTTGACTGAAAGCCCATCAAAATTAAACAGAACTGAAACAAGATCTTATGTTGGTGCTCTTTAGGGAATATTCCAGATAAATTTTCTGTTAAAGCTGGTGAGTATATATCTGCGATTAGCCCACCACAAATAAAAAAAAATACCACTTTCATATCTAATCATGGAACTTAAAATTGTAATATAGACTTTTAACTGATTAGGGATGAATTCAATAGGATGAAGATATGTTCCTCCTATTCAATGAAGTGAATAGAGAAACCAGAAAAATGTTATATGTAATAAGGTATTATCATTTATAGTTGTTCAGCAGGTAATAGATGTTCCCCTTTAAAAATCAAGAGATTAAAAAAAAGAATATAAATTACTTTAATTCTATGATCTTCTGTGTCAACCACAGTAGCTACTCTAATAAGCGCAGGATTCCTCTTGTCAACAGCTTCAAGTTTCATATTCTTCTGAAATCCATGAGAAAGTTTCTACAACAGAAGAAAGTATTTTTAGTTTAAATTGTATCTATTATTTATACCACAATGTTCTATGCCCAGGATAGGATTCATTGGAAGAAGCTTGGACTTCACACGAAAGGAACCAATAACGCTGATATTCTATAAAATGTTAACTAACTAAAATTATTGAGTTGGTTGACAATTTGGGATCCTTTGGACTCTTAAAAAACAGGTAGTAACTGTGGTCAAGAAGGCCCTGGCAGTTTAACCTTGTGTCCCAATTGGGACCTTTTCTGAAATGGGAGCTATTACTAATTGTCACTCATGTATTAGTGAGTTCTCAATTGGACTATAATATTGAAATACACTCTACGTGCCCTTGAAGCATTTGGAAGCTACAATTGTTCCAAAATATAGTAGGTCAAGCAATTAGAATAAGTCAAGCAGTGGCACCCACATAACATCTTTACTCCTGGTTAGTTTCTGGTTGTTGTTGTCACCTTCTCCTACTAACATCTGTCTGCCTGATAGGATGTAGTAGATTGTGTCCTTCTATCAAAGACTGCCATCTTCAGGGACCATCAAATTATACCTTCTCAGTTGTTGTTCTCTTCCCATCAATAACTATCAGCTCCAACACTTCCTCATGGCTTTCAGGAAATTAATGAAAATTTTGATTGTCAAGCCATCAAGTCATGGAGCCTGGTTCACTGTAATTATCCCTCAGGAGTAAGCAACTGTTTCATTCTTTTGAATATTTCTCCCAGTTTTATGTTAATATTTATGTTATTATAATATACATTTTAAAAAAATTATATTGCTTTTAACCCTATAAACCAAGTAAATAAAAATAAAATAAACCATGTATCTAGTATTTAACAAATCATCTTTTTTCTTGTACAGGAAGCAAAATGGTACAAGTAATCTTCAACTTACAAACATTCATTTAGTGACCAAAGTTACGGTGACACTGAAAAAAGCAACTTATGACTGTTTTTAACACTTATGACTGTTGCAGAATCCCCGTGGTTACAATTGGCAACTGGCATGTATTTATAACCATTACTGGGTCCCAGGGTCATGTGATCACCTTTTGCAACTTTCTAACAAGCAAAGTCAATGGGGAAGCCAGATTCACTTAATAACCGTGTTATTAACTTAACAACCGTAATGATTCACTTAACAACAGTAGCAGGAAAAGTCATAAAGTGGGGCAAACCTCACTTAACAACTGTTTTGCTTAGCAACAGAAATTTGGGGCTCAATTGTGGTCATAATCAAGAACTACAGTAGACTGAAAATGAGCCATGTTTAGGTAGTGCATTTCCTCAATTCTCCTTTCATGAAATATCATTAAAATATAAAAAGGGAAGAAATAATAGTTAAGATATTGTCTTATATCTTAAATATCTAGGTATCGTCAGGGTGTTGGATCTGGCTTGAAGATCAATTATTGCTCAATTCCAAAAATGAGAAAAATATATCTAAAGTCAAAGCAACAAGATCATAATCTTAGATATTAATATCGATCACAGCAACAATAGTGGCGGTAGATAATAAGCAGAATAAGTACAAATGTTTCTTACCACTTTAAAAGCCCTAGCAGGTGCAGGTAAAGAACTGGTTTCTTCCAAATATTTTTCCCAAGAAAAATGTTTGCCATGAGGATAGTCTAATTGATAAATAATGACACAAAATTTAAATATATCATACATTAGATTTATTCAAAACACTGTGCATCAGACTTCATTCAGTTAAAAGGAATAAAATAAACATGATCTACACCAGAGGTCCCCAACCTTTTGGCCAACAGGGACCAGTTCCATGGAGAGAGGTTTTTTCACGGACCAGAGGAGGTGTGGTTTTGCGTGCGGCCTGGATCCTGCGGATGGGGCTTCACTTGTTTGCACGGACCAGTTTCTGGTCCACGAACTGGGGGTTGGGGATCCCTGACCTACACAATGCCACCCTGCTTTGTAGTGGGTTTTCCACAACTCCTTGCACAGTCAGTCAATGCAGAGGAGTGCTAGGAATTGCCATTTGCTAACATCTGGAGGGATAAATATTTTAACTGCAAAGTACTCTACAATGATTTTTTTTTAAAGTGGAATCAATTAAGACTATCAAATCTGGACTGCAAAATTCTGTCCAACCATTAGATAGCCCCAAAAACTCCCTCTAGATCAGCGGTTCTCAACCTATGGGTCGTGACCCCATTTGGGGTCGATTGACCATTTCACGGGGGTCGCCAAACCACGCTGTCCGCCATTTTGTTCCCTTTTCCCTAGCTGTTCTACTCCCTCTTATTGGCTTTCAAAAGTGCCGTTCCTGCCTCCCTCCTCTTTGCACATGCGCAGCTTTTTTCTATATAAAGTTAGGAAGTTTCAGTTTCAGAGCACGTGGCGGAAAGCGAGAGAGAAACAACCAAAAGCGGTAAGTTTCCTCTCTGGGGGAAAGGGGTTAGCAAAAGGGTGCCACGAGCTTAAAAGAAATCGCAATAAAGAGGACGGCGAGCATGCATACCGTCCACCCAAACACACACCAAGTCTTGTTGCAGCAACGTTAAGCCACGACTTACACGCCTTCTTTTAGTCTGTTTGTTCAAATGCCTTCGCGATAAGCCAGCAGAATCAAAACTCCCTCTCTCTCTGGCGGCATTGAACCCACAGCAATGGTGTGTGTGTGTGTGTGTGTTTGTTTAAACAGCAGCAACAAACAATAAAAAGTATGTGTGTGGGGGGAGAGGGGAGATAATGATAAAGGTGACAGACCGGGTTTTCAAGCCTATCTCTTTCGCGGTGTATCCAGCCTGATCCCATTCAGAAGGCAGGCTGCAGCCAGAAAGAAACAGGGGAAAGACATCTGCACCTTTTGTTAACACTCCCCGAACCCCCCCTCCCATTTCTGAGTGGCCTCTCGCGCAGATCTGGTCAGGGAGCCACACAATTCCAGGGGGCAAAAAGGGGTGCAGGGATATTTCCAGAAACGAGCAAATCCAGTACACACAGTGACGCCCATATTCTCCCCGGCAGATTCTACCTCTCGCTGCAAGAAAACGCATTTAAAGTTTCTCTGCCCCTTTAAACCCAAGACCTGCCTCATTTGCATACTAGAGCGCTTCCCTGATTAGCCCAGCTTAAAACCTTAAAGCTCCGGCATCCCTCAAAAGCCGCTTCTCCTGATGCCAGGATCAAAGAGAAAGCTGTTTAAACTTCACCTATTATTTTCCCCCACCTCGGAAGGTAACTTAGGTTCCTCCATATCGCGTTCACCCAAGCCAAGCCACCATCTGAAAATGGGCCTCGGGTTGGGCATTGATTGCACCTGCAGTGAGGGGGGGGGAAAGCAGGGACCGCCTTTCCTAAAAAGCCCTGCGCGCCCCCACTTTCTTTACCGGTTTTTTTCTCCCCCCCCCCACCAGCTCGAGTACGTTCGCATTCCCTGAACCAAAAAAGCCGCACTCAATATATTCAGCCGAGCAGGAGGTCTGGGATCAGCGACGGGGCTGCGAGGCTGGCCATTCCCTTCTTTTCCGTGCTTCCCTTTTGGTGATTTGCACAGCAGGAAATATTATCTTTCTAATTTTATTTAGGCTAAGTTTCCAGAATCTGGCATCTGCTTTTCTGATTTAATTGCATAGTGGCTCTTTCTGTGCACGTTGTTGACTGAGTCCTAGGCCCACTCCACTTGGAGCTTTATAAATAAGAGCCCTTGATCCTTTTTACCCGTCACTAATGTTCGGATCTCATCTTCAAAATGTCTTTCCCTGCAGCGAATGAAATTGATTAGCATGATGTCCTTGCTGTGATTATAGCATGGATATATGAATTATATGTGTGTAAACTTCCTCTTCATGGTCTGGATCAGGGAAAAATGGAGTTTTCCTTTGGGGAACATTATGGTGGCTAAATGAATGAAAACGGAGAAATATCTTCTACTCAACTTTGCATAAAAAGTTAAATAATCTTATGCTTGTAATATTGATGTCCTAAATGGCAATTACACTGATACAATGTTTTATTTTCAACACTTTTTAAAAAATGTTAACAATTTTAATCATATTGTTAAACATTACTTCACTGAAATCTGCATTGAAATAATATGTTGTATCAATAATTATAATAAAAGCGGGAGGAGCAAAAAATTACCATCCCATACATTCAGTGAGAAGAAGTGTTCCCCTGCAGTGGCTAAAGAGCCTGGGGTATTATGATTTGATTCACCCAGCATCCAAAGCAAACCAACAAATCTTATCTTGGTTTTGTGGTTGTTAAACCATGATTTACTGTGGAAGCTGCTGTTATGGTTTATTCAGTTAATAGAGTTCATCAGGTGCCTGGTTCAGCATAAAGGGGAGCCCTTTGCAAGCAGCAGTGATATAGTATTACTAATGGATTTTTGTTTTTTAAGTGATAAAATCCTTTCTGGTCTGAAGGCTTGTTTTAAAGGGCTTTCTTTTTTTTTTGACTTTGTTCTCTTCCAAAAGAAGCTTGTGGTGCATGGTTTACACTTGGCAACTTTTTCATCAGTAAATCTTGGCTTAGGTTGAAACTCTTTTGACTATGTTAAAAGTAATTCCAGTCACCTTTGTAGTTTTCCTAGAAACATCCAGAGAAATGGTTTTTTTTTTAATTACAACCTGTGTCATTTGGGGGTGGCCATGTCCACCAGATACAGAGCTGCAGATGCCCAGAATTGGTCCTGCAACCTTCCATTGTCTCCCACTGACTCAGATCCACTTAAAAAATATTCCTCTACTCTGCTTTTTTCCAAGTACAAACAAATGCTCAAAGAAATTAGCTTGGACTTTGGAAGGAGGTGGCATCAGTATGTTGATGGCATTTTGCTTGCCTTGTGTTTGGCCCAGAATCAGTGTCTGAGATCAGTAAGGGGTTGGCAGGGAGCCAGTCAACTACTGAGCTGATTGTGCAGTCAAATGGTGTCAGTCTGCTTTCCTTTCCTCCTGAATGAATCTTCTTCACCTGGATGCCCTCTTGATGTGTGGATTAGAATTTGCCTCAACTGATGCTATCAACTGGTGATCTGGAGATACAGATCTTTGATACAGTTTTGGTAACTTCTGCAATGTATTGCCTATGACTTCTGGTTTGTGATTTGGTGATCTCTGTGTTTTCTTGCAGATGTTTCATTACCAAACTAGGTAACATCAAACTAGGAAATACCGTATTTTCCGGCCTATAAGACGACCCCCAACTTTTGAGAAGATTTTCAGGGTTTAGAATCCTAAACCCTGAAAATCTTCTCAAAAGTTGGGGGTCATCTTATATGCCGGAAAATACGGTATTCCATTTCTAGTTTAAGTTTCTGTTACTACTAAACCTGTTTTAAGACTTTATCAATTTACAATTTCCATAATCAAATATTGTTTTACTTTAACAGATTATCACTTCAATTATCTCTTCCAGATATGTTCAAGTTCTTTATCTCTCTCATCCCTCTTTTAATCATCAGTCTCATTTATATCTTCTTCCAATAATAACTAACTTAGTTAAAAAAAAGAAACAATGTTAAACCTTACTTCATTTCAATTCATTACACAAACTTCAAATCACATCCAAATAATTATTTACATTGCCATTCAGAACAGTAGCAAAATTACAGTTATGAAATAGAAACTAAAATAATTTTATGGTTGGGGGTCACCACAATATGGTGGCCACGCCCACTTGGTGGCCACACCCACTTGGCCATGCCCCTGGGGGTCACTACAACATGGGGAACTGTATTATGGGGTCACGGCATTAGAAAGGTTGAGAACCACTGCTCTAGATCTAGAAGCGTAAACCAGTTAAAGTCCCAGAAGTTGTTCCTGGAACTTTCACATATCGAGAGAAAATACCTCTGACTCTTTGATCAGCTAATATAAGGAGATGGGGAAATGTGTGTACTGGACACTAAATGAACAGTAAGATTTCCCCAAAATGTGCTGCAACTTTTACTTTCTAGGCAACAGAAATTGGGAGGTCTGCACATTTTAGTTCAATGCTTTATTAGATCATTAATTTATACAGGTACTCCTCGCTAACCGACTGTTCAGCGATTGTTCAAAGTTACAATGGTGCTGAAAGTGGAGATTTGTGACTGGACCTTGAGGTTGTGGCTGCTACAGCATCTTCCAGGTTGCAATTCAGGTGCTTGGCAACCAGTGTGCATTTAGGATGGCTGCAGCATCCCATGGTCACAGGATTACAATTTTTTGACCTGCTGGCTTCTCATAAGCAAAGTCAATGGGCAAACTAGCAGGAAGTCACAAGCCATGGTCATTCCACTTAATGATCAATGATAATTTGCTTAATGACCTCAGTGGGACTGACACCATAAGTTGGTATGATCACATGACATGTCACTCTGCAACTGTGTCTCTTAGCAACAACCGTAGTCTGTAGGTGGAGACCATCTGTACAGATACATGTCTTTTAAATACAGGTATCCATAGGTAAAGCAATTTCCTAGCAAAGCTCAATTGAACAAAATTTCTGTGGAGACTATATATAAATGTTAATATAAGTTTATAATAAATGCTATAATGGGAGAAAAGTTGTTAATGCTAGAAGGCCGATTTCAGTTTTCCTGTGCTGATAAAATGTCTCCTGTTAATAGATAACAATTTTTAATATATTACCTTTCCAAGTGACTCATAGTATGGCAATGAATTCCACCACTGATATGTGTGGGCTAAATTATAGAGTTGGTTCCTGAGAAACTACAATTAATTCACTTATAGATTAAATATTTATAGCTTATGTAAAGGTTGTTCGACAAGATGATTTGCATTCTAATTTTACAGCTACAAAATGTTATTCAAAATCTATATTGTTTATTTGTAATTATTAGTGTTTGCCTGGTAACTTTTCCCCTTTTTTCATATATCATTTGTTCATGTGAACTTCTCATTCATGTAAGCTCTGCATGGACTTAAAATCTTTTCCTTTTTACTGAACCATTATCCAAAATGCATGTGAAACTACCTTGTCCAATCGTAAAATACAACCATAAATTCTTATTTGTTTTTAACCTAACTCACTCTTGAATTGAGAGATTTTTAATTTTGGCATGCTAATAATTTCTCATTATAAATATTAAGCAAGTTAAATAAATATGTAAAGTTATACTATCTTATACAGACCTGGAGGAATTACAAGTGTTTTTCTATGTTCTTTACACCATCCAACGGGATGAATATGTGGACTAGCTGCTTCACACCTGCAGGAAAGATATTGTATCAATTGTGTACCTCTCCTATAAATATCTTAATTGCAATTAAGATTTTTTTCTATTACAATTCAAGGCCAGTGGGGCACATGAACATCTGGACTGCTTGTTAAATGGGGACACTGAATAAATTCATTATGCTGTTGAAATTATTTTTCAGAGAGAGAGAGAGAAAGTGTGAACATAGTTAGGAAAAGCTGAAATATATATTTGCTAATAAAAAACATTTGGCCTAAGACAATTTAACAAACAAAATTATACTTTTAAAGTTTCTAATCCAGAAAGAATGCCCTGTATGGATGCTTAACACATCATTGGATGCATCTGAATATTTTTATTATTTAAAACTAATTTATGGTTATTTTATTGTTACTGAATTTTGTTACTGTGTTTATTATATTACATAAACATCTTTTTAGACACTAGTAATTACCTTAAGTATATAGAGAGGTGAAAAATGAATATTAAAATTGCATTATGTTACGTGTCTTTATTCTATAAAAAGCTATGTCCTAGGCAGATACAAGTTAAGAAAATAATGAGACATAGAAATAAATACAATAAAATAGTAAACTATATACAAAATACTAATTCTAATAGTTTGCTTTTTAAAAAAAATATTATTACCATATTAGTAAACAAAAAAATTCTGCTTGCTTTTTTCTATTACCCATGCTACTGTTCATTTTTTAAAATTGGGATAGTTTAACTAAATATTTGTGTTGGTTTCTATTTAATAGGATCAGATATCCATCTTATAATATACCGATCATCTTATAGCCCCATCTAGCGTTCAGATGAGGAACTTTATAAGTCATACATGTTTTTATGTTAATGGAAGCAGTCTTATTAGCAATCCACTTTTTATCTCCCAAAGGTTAAAAAAAAGAAATCCTTGACAAAGGTTTTCCTTTTTCTTTTTGCCTCTCTCTTGACTTATGGGAGATATTGCCTTAGAAATAAAATACATATTTGTTGAATATTCTGTAGGCTGGACCCAAGAGAGAAAGCTCCCTTCTCTTGCAGCCTGCAAAGAAGCAGAGTAAGTTGCAACAGGACAAATAACTCTTGACTTTGGAGATCTATAAATTCACAATCAGGAATATAGTTAAATGCAAGATTGAATTAAACTCATACATTAATTACAAATTATGAGCAGGCAGTTATTTTCTGGCAGCTATTTTTTATTTGTGTCCAAGTCACCAAAATATAAAGATTCTTTTCCTCAGTTTGAGGGAGAGAATTGTGGCAGAATAAAAGGAATTTGAATGGATACACTGCTGAGAAAGGTTAAATGACTTCTCTTTTGCCTCCTTCTAAATCCGAAGATATCTGCAGCTGCTTTGCAGAAAAAAAAGTACTTGTAGATAGGGAGAAGAATGTGAGAATAGGAAGGCTATTCGCAAATATAAATTTAAGCATTAATGGCACAATATGAATACTTCCTCTTGAGTTCATTCATGGTGCCATTGCCGTTTTTAAAGAGCCAGCTTATCAGGTTTACTGCCATAATAGGGTTCTCCTAAAGAAATAAGCATGGTTCTATTGATCCTAGATTTTAATTGGCTCTTGAAAATAATTCTATTTCTCTCCTCATTTCATTAAGGGTGCAGGGCTTATAGTCTTTAAATTATAGGCTAGTTCTTCGTATTTTTGGAATTACAATATAGTTATAATATAGTTTTCCATGAAGTCTTTGTCCTTTAAAGCTTTACCTTGGAAGCATCTCAAAAGTTCTTCTGCTATCACAATGTCATATTAAGGACCTGTGACACTGTGCTAACCCATGAGTTACCAGGTGGCTCTTCTATAAATTAAAACCATTCCAAGCGGTGGAAAGCAATTCCCTTGGCAAATTTATTCAAATCTGGTTTCTTTTCCAGTGCAATCGCTGTATATAATGTGCCTGGGGTTCCTAGTAGTTCCCTGTGTTCTGACAAGGCACCTCCTAGAACTCCTACTGGATGGAATATACAGGAGATGGAAGTAACGAAGGAAACCATCTGAACTTGAGCAGAAACAACTCTTAAGTTGTTGTCTACCCACCATGTTCTAGAACAGCGGTTCTCAACCTATGGGTCGCGACCCCATTTGGGGTCGATCGACCATTTTATGGGGGTCGCCAAACAATGCGATCCGCCATTTTCCCCCCTCAGGGGGCGGCGCTGCGCATGGGGGCGACGCTGTGCATGCGCGCCGCGCATGGGGGCGGCGCGGCACGTTTGTGTGACGGGGGTCGCCGTCACACAAACATTGAGAAACGCTGTTCTAGAAGGCCCTGTGTCTCTCAACACTTTTCACATAACAATGCAGGAGGCTTCATTGGCAGACTGCAAAAGGTCAGTGGCTTCATTATTTTTATGTTTCTGCCTTTCCACATCTAATTCCTAACCCAAGGAGGACCACATAAAAGTTTTCAAAAACTTTCCTCTGACCTCAAGTACATTTTCTTGTATTCTAGCCTGTAATTTTTTTCTCACTTTCAGATTATTTTTCTTTCTGACTTTCACATTTATTATCACTTTTATTCTTTACACTGCTACCAACAGCTACATCTCTTTAAGGGTCTGTAAAATATAAAATTATTCTAGAGGAGAAATGATTTTTTTAAAAAATTTGATCATCCTAATTAAATTGAAAAATGACAATGTAAGCCAGGGGGGGGAAGGGGTAGTATCTCTAGAATTCTATCATCAAAACACTCCTACCAGTAGTCATAGCTTTCATCCCAGTTGTCAAAATGAACCAGGAAACGGTTGTCCACAATGTCAGTTACTGTAGCAACACATATGAAAGCAGGGTTCTTTTTGTCTACTGCTTCAAGCTTCATCCCTACTCGAAAACCTGATGGGATCACAGTCTAATCAAAGAGAGGTTCAAAAATAATGTTGAGTAGAAAGTTGGTTATTGAACCACATAAAGCAAGACAGTGTCAAACAGAAGAAAACAGAAAACTACAGATCAATAAAAAAACCAAACCAAACATAACACTGCAGATTAATTTTTTTAAAAAGCCTCTACATCAGGGATCCCCAATCCCTCGGCTGTGAGCCATTTTGAATTGGACCACGGAAGCATGCGCATCTCCACTTGCGCAAGTAGCAGATGAGCATATGTGTGCAAGCTCCATTTGTGCAGGCTTGCTGGCCGTTTGTCCGTAACCAGTCCCTCCCCGCACCCCACGGGTCCACAAAGCTGGAAAGATTGGAGAACTCTGTCTACATCTTCAAATTCTTCTGACATTACATAATTTTGAACTTTTTTTAAAAAAAAGTTCTAAATTATCTATTTTATTTCATTATTTTATTTTACTGACTGCCCATCTTACCACATGGTGTACTGTTAAAACTGAGTAACTTTTCACAGACTTTTCAAAATAAATTTGCCTTTACTAGCTTATTATGACATAAAACATACAGTCATTACATTCCCACAAGGGAGCTCCATGCAGCCTCCCATGAATTCTGCTGGTCTTTATCTAGCGCCAGATTGGTAGATCAGATTCTTTTACATAGGTGGAATGAAATAAATTTTAGTGCTTTGAACTCTACTCCTGTTCCTGGCTTCTCGTGCCTGACAGTGAATATGTAATCACTCAGTCAAATTAGGACTTGTGTGAAGTCAATGAGATGTGACCATGTATTAAAGGTGTGTCTTATACTTTATATCATATTGTCTTGGGAATAAGATAAATTCTTATTGCCTAAATCAAATAGTTGGATTATTTCAAAACTAATTTGAATTCAGACCTCTTTTATTTGTCTCATCCATTTTGTAATTCCCTACATCACCTTTTTTTACATTTAATTTACTTCAATACAGAAAGACTGTCAGCCAGTCAAAAAAGGATGTTGGAAAAATCTTTGATAAAGTTTCCTTCACGTAAATCTTACAAGATCACATTAATTCTTACTCAGACTTGATATGAGTTCAATTATTATTTTAATAATTATTAAAATTATCCACCTAGCCACTTTCATATCTAAGGCAGGATTAGAACTTTCAGTCTCTGTTTTCTAGCTTCTTAGATCAAGCTGGCAAATTCTGCACTTTCCTCTTTATTCTTTACTTTGTAATAGTTTTTCTTAGATTTCATATTCTTTTTAAAATTTTAATAAAAAAGCATGCAAATAAGAATTTAATGGCTACTCTCTTCTACCCATATAGGAAAATATTATTCTAATGCTTTAAAAAAAATAACCCAAAATTAAAGCTTTTAACAAACACTTTCAAGTAATTAAATTAACATCAAGAGGCACAGAAAAGATACAGAAAATACAAAAAATATCTCCAGAAAATAAGTAAAGAGATAGGTACTGTACATGTACAAATTTATTATATAAATTTACTATAAGGAGTTGATTTATTACATTGATAAAATCCATTATATTTTTTAACTAGATTGAGTATATCAATATATTACACAAATGCTAATGTGAACACAGAGATAAATATAAGGAAAAAAACCTACTGTGTTTTGGTTTTCAAACAAGGATTTAGGAGCAGCCTGAGCTTTACATTTCTTCAGATATGCAGGCCAATTAAATTCATCTTCTTTATAACCTGGAAACCATAAAGAAGAATAAAACATTTTTTTTTAAATTTGAGGTGCACTTAACTTTAATTACAGCTGTTTCTGTCAGTATCACCATTCAGTTTCTGCCAAACTGTCCATTTCAAGAACAAACAGAAGACATTTAACTCTTAAAAGCCCCTTGAGAATATAATTACAGGCACCACAGTAATTTAAAAACAAGATCAGTCAGTAATATCTGAAAATTCCAAAAGCACTAGCCTGTCTTCAAAAGTTACGAATATCTCTTTTCTAACACAAGTGAGGTACAAATGCAGTATTGACCAATAATACACACTGAAATTCTTGTAACTAACAAGTCTAATATTTTATCATTTTCTGAAGTGAAAATAGCAAAAGTCTGCAATCCTAAATTATAAAGGTACAATATGAACTATATTTGATAATTTCATTGTTAACTACGTCCACAAAGGCAAAAAAAGAAAAGAAAGGGGAAAAAAACTGCTTGCCAAGAAAAGAATTCTTAATTAGTGCAAGGCTGAATATAGTGACATAACATAGTTTAAGCATTACATGTAAAGAAACCTATGATATCCAAACAATTTTTAAAGATCAATAACAAACTATTGCATGCTGTTACCAAAACCCCTCTATTTTTCTGGTTTTGATTTTGTGATCTGTCCTAGAGAAACCTGTTTTGCATTAAGAGAAATAAAGAAGCATCTTCAACCAGTACGGAAGTATGGACCAAATGTATTCAAAGTTGAAGTTGCCCTCTTACTAAAGATGACATTGCACCTAATATGCTTATTTTCCTCAATTAAATCCAAGCTTTTTTGGGATATTACTTGCAAAAACTAAGTTTGGTCTCAAAACATTTCCAATGGAAGTAATGTACAAAGAACCAGTTGCTTACCCCTGTTTTTTTTAAATGAATTCTGTGAGTGTTATGCCTATGCTGCAGCCTTCTCTAGAACATTCTACAGTTATAAAAATGTTGGTGGCAATCAGCACAAAGACATCTGCATTCCCATCCAGTATTGGACTTACAGTAGGAATGTAAGCACCTGCAGAAAGGATGTTTCAAGGATGCTGTGAATGCAGAGGTGACTATTTTTAGGGATGGCAATTACAGGTAAGCAACTGTAATTGAACAACAATCTTACTTGGAGCTGGTGCTAATGTCTCAGTCTCCAACCAGAATGGATAATACAGTGACTCCATAAACATTAACAAGCAAGAGGGTTGCCAGTTAATAATTGATGTCCTTAATCCAGTGATAAAATTGCTAAGAGGAAATAGAAATCTTTCTTTTTCCCAAAGAGTAAAAAAACAACTACAATGTTGTGTGAGAAGTTATTATGAATACACAAAAAGCCAAGACATGACAAATAAAAGTGAAAAGAACAATCCAATTCCAAATTCAGTATAAAATAGGAGAGAAAGAATAGTTTCACTGAGGCAAAAGTCAGATCCACTTTAGGAAGCAAAATCAGATCACAATGCAGGCTTACCTTCTTGAGATAAAACATAGGATCTACACGAATAGTGGAGATGAGTGCAACCAAAAATTCCTCTGTGTGTGTGTTTTATACACAGACACACACAAATATTGGTCTGTTAAAATGAAAGCAATACCAAGCAGAAACAGGGAACTGTATCAGTATTAGAAATACACCTCAGAAACTGTCTTTTGCAGTGGCAAAAAAAAAAAAAATGGAATTGCTATCAATGCTAGAATTAGATGCTAAAAATTGAAGAGCGTCATAGAAGGATAAAGCATTCATTTATGAGTCTTGTATGATCGATCACATATCTATGGAGTTTCTCAATCATCCAGGTCATAGTTATCCCAAAGGTGTTTTTTCACGAGGCAACTAGATTTTCTTCTTTTTCTTTGAAGACATTTCACTTCTCATCCAAGAAGCTTCTTCAGCTCTGACTGGATGGTGGGGAATGGAAGGATTTCTGCAAGGAGTATACTACTTTTTTTATTATTATTATTATAGCCAGTATAAATTTTTACTTTTAGATTCCTAAGTCTCTCACTATAAAAGTGTAACTATGCTGCCTTAACACAATAAAGAAAGGTCATAAATTGTTTATGGATAACGTAGTACCTTTTGGTGGATGAAGCTTATGCCCGGTTTTCTCACACCACCCAACAGGGTGAATATCTGAAGAATCAGCATTCAGCCAAAAATCATAACAGTCTGGATATTCATCAAAATGAAGTCGAATTCTGTAGCCACAAATCTAAAATCACAGTATATAAAAATAGAAGCGTATCTCCTCATGGGCCTTACAGAGCCAATTATTGAATAGGGGGACAATTCTCAAACAAACTTTAGATTGCATAATCATTCAATACAGTAGTGCAAACTTATCACATCTTTATCTTTATTCAATATATATATATATATATATTGTTTATAAGTAAAAATCCAATACTTCTTTCCAGCTATAATCCAAGGAAACATTCTGTGGTAAGTATTTCTAAATATTTCTTGTAATAATATTAGAATCTAGGTCTAATCAATGAAGTTGAATCACACAACATTTAATAAATCACGCAACATTTAATAAAAGATGCAATGGTTACAAATTTAGATGAATTTAGAAATTTAGAAAAATTAAAAAGCTTTACAGAAGTACCAGAAAGTGTGACTTTGAAGGTACCTAAGCAAAACAATAGCCATTATCATTATAGGGACATGACTTTCAAACAGTTCCCCATTGTGGGAAACATGTTGGATTACACTCAATGTTTGATTTGGTGCAACAAAGCTCTTCTTATATTCTTATTTATAGTTTATAATTCTATGTTACCTGGCTCTAAATGATGGGGTGCAGTTATTTTCTTATTGCCTGCTATAATTTGTTTTTAATACAGACAAATGGATCACCTGTCACTCACCTCTACTACTGTAAGCACACAATACATTGACTGATGCTCAGGATCCACTCCTTCTAGTTTCATTCCAACTTTGAATCCATTTTTGTTGTATGGGAAGGACTGGTACTAGAAGTAAAATGTCAAGTTTTATTTAACATAAGCATTTCTAAACTACACCAAGATAGATACCTTACTTTTCTCCTTTAAGAAGAAAATCCAGATCTTCCATATTGATTCCAGCTAATGAAACTTTTTTCCCCACCTCCATTTTTCAAAAAAAGCTATACGGACATAAACTAGATCAAAATCTTCAATATAAAGTACATTATGCATTTCCTAAGTAATAAATATGTTAATATATTTCCGGATTAATGGCTCTTTGTAATTCCTCTCTCATCTTTTACATTCCTGCAGTGTGAGTTGTATTTTGAACTTAGGTTAAGTAATTATGTCATCATATGCTTCATTATACAATACAATATTGCATATATGTCTTTGCATGACCTTTAAGAATGGGGCTTTCTTTACTGTGTCAGTTACGCCTTTTAGTTTCTAATTGATTTTAGAGTTTGTGCCTTAAGCAGAGACAGTAAATACAAGGATGAGTGCAGCTGTGCTTCCTTATCTCTCTCTGCAGCAAAGCTTAGGAATTGCTTGTTGGAATAACAATTAAGAGACTTCGTAAAGTCATATATATAAGTAAGCTTCCTTTCAAAAAATGCATCTCTATGTTTTCATACAACGAAGGATACTATTGTCTTCCTTTCTGTTAGCATTTTCTTTAATCGTTGTAAAATAATTGTATTGACATCTCCTATTAACAAATACACATTGTCAAACTGTTTGTAATCAACATTCTCTTTAAGACCTATGTGGACCTAGTAGTTCTTATTCTTGGTTCATCTGGGTACAAAAAAAAAACCCGTAATGACTTGATAGTAACCTGCTAGCTTTGAAAAATAATTAATTCTTCGGATCCTCTTCAGTGGTTGGTATTTATTGTGAAAGTTTTTCTACCACTGTGCTAAAATTCATTTTAATACCAAGAGTTTGATAAATTTCTTACCGTATATTCCGCCGTATAAGGCAACCCGGCGTATAAGACGACCCCCATCTTCGGCGCCGAATCACATGCCTAGAAAGTCGTCTTATACGCCGGAAACTACCGTAATTTCCGGTGTATAAGACGACTTGGCATATAAGATGACCCCCGACTTCGGCGCCGATTTCCGCGCTTTCAAAAGTCATCTTATACGCCGGAAAGTACATGAAGTTCAAAAATTCTGGTCTGTGAAAAGTATCTGCTTCTTCCGCAATGATTTTTCTAGTTATGCCATGAAGATATAACCATGCAAAAATCAATTATCTATACATTTACTTTAAAGAATAATTTTACGAGCAGGATTTTGCATTACTGCTTGTATTGAAACAAGTGTAAGAACAAATGGATTTGCGAGTTTTCAACAGGCGTATTGTTTCACTCTTTGAAACTGCTTGACATACAGCAAAACAAGTCAATGCTCCAGGCAAAATAAACCACAATTAAGAAGCAATGTGTGTCTATGAACGCTAGGGAAGGGGAAGAGGCAGAGGAGGTACTGTAAGATTATACACAATTTTATGTTAATCCTTTCCTAGGAACCCAAGTTTCACTACTCCTTTTTGTCTACTTTAATGACTATTATTAACAACAGTAACTGGATAATTAGGGTTACTCCAATAAAATTATTGATGTACAGTTACATCAACTGAAGCTTCTCGCCAGAGGTTGCTAGTAATCAAAGCTATAACCACCGATCCTGTCAAAATACACAGGACCCACATGCATTCAACTTAAGCTGTATACAGCATTGTAGATTGTTGTGCAGTCCTTCGTGTAATTCTTATTAAATTTTCTCCATAATAATTTACTATTTTCACAGCATTCATACTGTAGGTATAACAGCATCTATATATACATTAGAAGAATACCAGGAATGGATACAGTGTGAAAAAAAGACACAAAAAAATGTTGCATATAAAGAGCACTGTTTTTGTATGCCAGAATGATGTCATCTAGAATGATTTAACTGCCTGTAAAATTATGAGATTTATGTTTATTGTTTCACTGACACAATCCTTATTTCAGTGTGTACAAAAATATTTTACATAATGTCAATTTAAAAAGCCATTAATTATCTAACCATTATAACTATTGAAAGGTTTCTTTTCTATTCAGGTTTGTTCGTATTATGTGCTCCAATATTTATATATATATATAAAATTTAGATATATAAGTCCCTCCTCTAACTCATTACTGACTCTAAGCTGCATGCATTTTTTTTTAAAAAAACCCACAATTGCTAAAATAAAGCAAAAAAGAATAAACAATGTGTGAATCAAAAAACCTACAACCAAAAGAGACAATTTATTCCAAATGGGTATACCTAATCCTATCCCAGAATCTGGAGTGCGGAAAACAGGTTAAAAACGTATCTTCACCAGTGTACAAACCGAAACCAAGCACAAATGCATATAGCTAGTGCTCACACTTCAGACTGCCAGCAGTAATAATACCAATGAATTCTTATTGCAATGTTTTGGAATTGGGCACTTAGTAGCTTACAGAAATCATCTGAAAATATATCAATCGGTATAAAAATATAAGGAAGTATGAAATAACAATTCAAACAATTCAGTTTTAAACTGAGGCAGAAGCATGCTTAGCTAAATTAACATCAACATTTAAAGCCCGCTGTTTTTAAAAACAAGTGTTTAGAAGAGTTAAATATAATACAACTAGAACTCCAGAACTATGTTGTCACTATGAAAACCTGCCCACTTATATGCAGGTTTCGATAATAGAAAGATTGAGGGCAATAGAAGAAGGGGACGACAGAGAATGAGATGGCTGGATAGAGTCACTGAAGCAGTAGGTGTGAACTTAAATGGACTCCAGAAGATGGTAGAGGACAGGAAGACCTGGAGGAACGTTGTCCATGGGGTCGCGATGGGTCGGACACGACTTCGCAATTAACAACAACAATCGATAATAGAACATCTGGGATAATCTCTACATCAATTATTATATATAAACATAGTAACATCTGTGAACTGCCTTTCATAAGTAAGGGAATTAATATAACCCTTATTAGCCATGTCAAAATTTTAAGTTCACATTTATTTAAGACACTTAACTAGCAAAGTATATATTCCTCAAATCAACCAATTAGGAATTTATAGGGGAGCTTACCTCTTTAAAAATCTTAGGAGGTGCTGCTGTAGCCTTTTCTTCTTCCAAATATGAAGACCAACTCCACGCTTTCTTTCCCTTTGACATTAAAGCTGAAATCAGAAATCAAAGCAGTTAAAGATATTAGAAAATAAAATCTAGTCACAGAAGACACATGTAAGCTGTTATCTGCACTCAGGTAACTGTCTATTTTTTTTGCTTTCAAACTACTGAAAAACATCTTATCAGCAAGTATAGGATGATTCTCTTCCCTGTGCCATTCATAGATAATAAGTATCTTGGTGAAAAATCTTGTATTGCAATTGGTTAAATATGGTAATATCATCCCATACGCTTCAAATCTAGTAATGTAATGTTACTATACAGGCAGTCCCTGACTTACAGCAGTTCATTTAGTGACTGTTCAAACGGCACTGAGAAATGTGACTTATGATCGTTTTCCACATGACCCCATGGTCAGCCTCCCCATGGTCTTGTGATGGCAACTGACTCACACTTATGACCGTTGCTATGTCCGAAGGTTATGTGATCACCACTGGCAACCTTTTGACAAAATCAAGGGGGAAAGCCAGATTCACTTAACAACCGTGTTACTAACTTATCAACTGTGGTGATTCACTTAACAACTGTGGCAAGAAAAGTTGTAAAATGGGGCAAAACACACTTAACAAATGTCTCAACAACAGAAATTTTGGGTTCCATTGTGGTTGTAAATCGAGGACTACCTCTATTTGTGTGAACAGCACTGTAACAGCTTGCTTTTAATTAAGACAGCAGAGATAGTAGATGATTACCATCAAAGTGAAAATTAGAGATCAGCTTATAGGTAACGAATACTGCCCTAATCTTATTATTTTCCTTAAAGAAGCATATTCACTCCTTTAGGAAACTAACTCCACAGTGATACGGTAGCATTTTAATACTTAGTTAACACTCTGGATTTGTCACTTTTTGAAATATGCAATACTTAATTTTCTACATGTTCCCAAAAATTAATTGAACAATTTCATCTATGCGGAACAGAAATCCCCATCAGTGTTCAGGGAAGAGTATTGTCTTAATTTCGTTTATACATCTACTTTAAACTCTCCTATGGAATGGGGAACATTAAAGACAGAATATCTGAAGCTTTTAATAAAACAATAAAATGTAAGCACTCGAAGGACGATGCTCTTCCATTTTTTCTTTTACAAAACACTGAATGTTTTACCATGTACAACATAGCTATTATAATAATATTGATATTATTGACTAAATATAAAATATAGTACATTCATTTAATTACTTAATTAATTTAGTATTTGCATAGCTGTCCATCCCAATGGTGGGATTCAGCTGGTTCGCACCACTTCGGCAGAACCGGTAGCTAATTTTTTGTTGCCCAGGCCCAGAATGGACTTCCGGATGCAGCATCCACACAGATAACCAGTTGTTCACATACTTGAATCCCACCACTGGTCCATCCCATTTAGTGACACTGTGCAGCATACCTAATAATCACGAATGTATAAAAACTGATTGAAACCAATCAATTTAAATTAAAATAAAAACAAGATCAATCAAATTTAAAAAAGCAATGGCATAAAAACGGAGTGCATCCATTAACTGTCATATAGCTATCCAACAGGTTCTCCTATCATAGTATCACTAAATTAGTTGATAAAGCTATGTCCGAAGGCAGGGGTGGGCAACTATGGCAACTTTCTACAACTGTGGACTTCAATTCCCAGAATTCCTAAGCCAGCAAGGGAGTTGAAGTTCACAGGTCATAAAGTTGTCACAGTTGCCGTCCTCTGTTTTAAGGGCTTTCTGGAAAACTAATGGAATTGGGACCAACCTCACCTCAGGAGGGGGAGGGAATGATGTTCCAGAGGATGGGGGCTACGTCAATTTTATCGACAAAACATACACTAGAAATGTTCACATGTGGCATTATGAAAAATCAATGACCAGAAGATATTTGCAAATTGTATAAATTATATACTGTATAAAATTCACATATTCATATAATATGGTTGTTCACTTCTGATTGTACACTTAATCAATCCATTTACCTCACGATAAAATTTAAGTTTTTTGAGGAATTGAAGGAAAACTTCATTCTGCTAAAGTATTATATATCAACTTACTTTGTTTTAAAATTGCCACCTCTCGTTTCCTTTTCCTTGTGGCTCTTTGAGATACCCTCAGTATTCTTCCTTCAGAGTTCTCTTCCTAAATTGCAAAATTAAATATTGTGGCAGGCATAATTATCATTTATAATGATCAAACACAGAAGTTTCTGTTCTGATTCTATTTTGAATATTTAAATATGAATTCAGTTCATGTAAAAATCAATGGAGAATGAAGTTCCAGCTTGCAGAGTGGTGTTAAACTAGGAAGATGGTATGATGAACAATTTAAGTACACTGAAACTAGATGTATGAATAAAATTCAATTTTGATTTGCAATATTAACAGTGAACTACAATACAGGACTTTCCTAATTATTTTCTCAATACAAGAGAGAAGAATAGCAATATGCTCTCTATAAGACTCTGTAAGAAAATGACTACACTGTAAAACAGATATATAGTTTACTATTCTTTCATTCTAGCTACATGAAAATAAATGCAATAGGCAGAAGAGTATATATATTTAACACCAGCCCAGCTCCAACATCCAATTCAGCAAGAATTCACAATATTTGTCAATGGCAAAGTTAAATGAATTTTGCTCTATCAATCAAGTAATTGAAATGCCGTATTATTGAAATTTACAATATTTCAATATACTTACACCTTATAAGATTTCAAATAAAAAATCAAGTTCATAAAATTCGGAGAAAAATGATTTGAATCTAGAAATCTCATGAGATGAGGCAAATCAGTTAAATTTAGATTAAAACATAGTATTCCATTTATGATTTGTTCAATCTACCTCTGAACAAATTATGATTGGCAACAGGCTTAAAGTACACAGGTTTTACAAGCAAGGACTACTGAACAGTACTAAAACTACAAGAAATTGTCTAATCTAGAACTATCAACTGAAAAATACTAACAGTTTCCTTGTCTTTATCCTTTTCTTCAATAACCTCTCCTTTGGATGGCAATTTGCTTTTTCTCTTTTGAATGCCCTTAGAATAGTCTTCATCACTGCATTCGGACACATCTTTTTCCTCCTTTGATTCCCTAGAATGAGAATTAAATTGCATTAATTAATACAAGGAAAAAGTTATGATTCACAAAACAGACTTCACATCTTTTAAACCTTTTCTTTTCTATATCTTTTCAAAGCACATACTTTAAAAGGGCATTTTAAAAGAAAGAAGTAGCAAATTTGAATGCTGTCAAGTGGAATAATAGAAAGACTGCAATCAAATCTCACTAGACTTACGGAAAAAAAAACCTCCTCTGTACCCTCTGTTGGAACATTCTAGCCCAACAAGCCAGGGATCTATTGAAACAATGTTGCAGCATGAGAAAATAAGCACTGCCGAAAATGAAATGCAAACCACATTGAAATTAATTCAAGAATCAATACAAAGAAACCATGAAGAGACAAAAAGTAATTTTGATAAATTAAATGAACAAATGTTGGATATAAAGACACAATTTGAATCAATCTATATTAAAAGAAAGAGAATTTATAGAACTAGCAAAAAAAGAAATGGAGTTTTTCTTCAAAGAAAACAAAAAAGAGATAAGAAAAGATACAAGGCAAGGATGTCCATTATCTCCATTGTTATTTATTCTGACCTTGGAAGTTTTAAATAGAAATATTAGACAAGATACATAAATTAAAGGACTAGAAATAAAAGGTGAAGCATACAAGTTACAAGCATTTGCTGATGATTTGGTATTTATTTTAGAAGAACCTTTGGAGACGATTCCTAAACTACTGGAAAAGGTAGAACAGTATGGAGAAATAGCAGGACTGAAAATAAACAGAGAAAAAACTAAAGTAATAGTCAAAAATCTTTCAGATAAACAAAAAAACCCCCAAATATCAGAAAAAATAGAATTACAAATAGTTAAAAAGGTCAAATATCTGGCAATATACTTAACAACATGATGTTCAATGATAAAAGATAACTATACAAAACTATTGAATCAAATAAGAGTGGATTTGGAAAAATGGAAAAATTTGCAATTGTCACTATTAGGAAGAATTGCTACAGTGAAAAAGAATATATTACCGAAAATCTCATTTTTATTCCAAACAATACCTATAAAACTTAAAAAAAATATTTTAAAATTTAAATTCATTAATTTTGAAATTTATTTGGCAAGGAAAGAAAGCTAGAATTAAGATGAAAATGTTACAAGATGCCAAGGAAAATGGAGGTTTGGGTTTACCAGAGTGGGTTTCATATTACCAAGCATCTGTATTAACATGGGTAAAAGAATGGATAATTCTTAGAAACAAAAGGTTGTTATATCTGGAGGTGCATGATTTACAATTGGAGTGGCATGCTTTCTTATGGTAAGGGAAAAATAAAATTCATAAATACTTCCACAATCACTATATAGGAAATGCATTATTAACAACATGGGAAAAAATAAAATGTAAAATATATCTGAAAATTTCAGGGTGGTTATCAACAATGGAAGCATCTGTATACCCAAATTTAGTTGACTTTGAAAACATCTGGACATATAGAGTTATTTTAAACTCTGAAGGGAATTTAAAATCTAAACAAGAAATGGAAAATCAGGGTATCAATTTATCATGGTGGGCACATTTACAAATGCAAACTAGATATGATAAAGAAGTTAAATTGTAGGTTTTTATAAGGAGCAAATCTTGTTTGATAAGATATTGTTAACTTCTGATGAGAAACTAATTAAGAAAATGTATAATTTTTTATTAACGTTGAAAATGGAAAGCAAACAAGTTAAAGAAACAATGATAAGTTGGGCAAAAATTTTTGGATATAATATAGAATTAGAAAAATGGCAAAATTTATGGGAAAGAAATTATAAACTGACAATGTCAACTTTCTACAAAGAAAATTTATATAAAATGTTTTATAGATGGCACTTGCCACCAGCAAGACGAGCAAAAATGTTTAAAAACATGTCAAATAGATGTTGGAACGCAAACAGAAGTCAGGCACTTATTATCATGTTTTGTGGACAGGTGCCAAAGCAAAGAATTATTGGAAAAAGATACATGCCTGGCTAGAAAAGATGTTGGGAGAACATGTAGAGTTTAAATCTGAACTTTTTTTAATTAGGTATAATAACAAAAAGATTAAACATATGTTTAACTTTGCATGTTACAACAGTGACAAGAATTATATTTGCGCAATATTGGAAAAATGAAGAATAATACCATCAGATGAAGAAATAATTAAAAAATATTAGAATGCACAGAGATGGATAGACTGAGACTGAAAGAAAAAGAAGAAACAGAATATTATCAAACTTGGGACTTATTTTATCGATGGCTAGAAGAAAGAATAAAGGATTAGGAACTAAATATGTATTACAATGTAATAGTAGTAAAGTTGGAAGGGACCTTGGAGGTCATCTAGTCCAACCCCCTGCTCTGGCAGGAAACCCTACACCATTTCGGACAAATGGCTGTCCAGTCTCTTCTTAAAAACTTCCAGTGTTGGAGCATTTACTGCTTCTGGAGGCAGGCTGTTCCACTGATTAATTGTTCTCACTGTCAGGAAGTTTCTCCTTAGTTCTAGGTTGCGTCTCTCTTTGATTAGTTTCCACCCGTTGCTTCTTGTCCTGCCTTCAGGTGCTTTGGAAAATAGCTTGATTCCCTCTTCTTTATGGCAGCCCCTGTATTTACATTAGCAAATGTAAATACAGACAGCACATTTGTTGAATAAATACTACTGAATGTATGGAAAAAAATTAATAAAAACCTTTAAAAAAAGAAGAAAGACTGCAATCTGTTGAAAGATTGAAGATATTATTATGTAGGAATAAGTACAATCCCAGTAAAACAAATTTCTCAAATGAACACAGTAAAAGCAACTATGCAATAACTATTTGCATTAGGAATAAACTGAACTATACTATTATCAACAGAGAGTGAAACAGTTAATGCATGGCCCTGAACAAAAACACATGACTTTGCTTCTGTAAATTCCAATATATTGGATTGCATCTAAATAGAACCTTTATAAAATCAAAGTGAATAATGCAAACTTTTTTATCACAAGCTCATATAATAAGCAAAATTCTATGAATATATAATGATGTTGCAATCTTTAACTAGAAGTCAAACCTACTGGGATTTATTTCTTAGTAGATATGTATCAGAACTGTTCCAATTCTTGTAAGCATGCAGGAATGTGAATGAAGCACCTATCTTTGACAGCCATGTGTTTTTTGCAGGTTTACTTCTTTTAAGACTGCATCCTGTTGACACTTAGCTATGAATTATACTGAACGGTAATCAAATATATGACTATTCTGGCAGATTTATATTATGCTCACAAACAGTGGTAATTACTGAGAAAAATATGGCTTCTCCGAGACGTGTAAGGTCAATTCTGTTTCAAGCTCTTGGGAATTCTTTTATTTATAAACTTATTTAAACAATTGTAGAAAATATCTGCCTTGTTTTATCTAACTGAACAGAGGTCAATAATGCAGCATCAAAAGCACTACACTATCTACAGCAGTGTTTCTCAACCTTGACAATTTTAAGGCATGTGGACTTCAACTCCCAGAATTCCACAGTCAGCATTGCTGGCTGTGGAATTCTGGGAATTGAAGTCCACATGCCTTAAAATTGTCAAGGTTGTGAAACACTGATCTACAGTATCCCCAAATGGCATCACTGAACTCACATAGAAGCATTCTTAACAAATAAATGTTTGAATTTTTGTAAGATCAGTTGTGTTCTAGCCCTGGAATTTCTTAAGGGTGGAAGATTTGCACCTGCAACCGCTATAAGGCTTGCATGGTAGCACCTAGTGCCTCTAATATCCCTGTACTTTTTCTCCTTTGCTTCAGAAAAAAACAACCCAGCAGTAATTAGCACAATAATACAACACAGATTTCATTTTTTAAAAGATCAACTGACAGCTCAGCAAGTATTTTTAATCAGTGTTCTCTTAGGCAATAACAGAATTTGTACTTGCAATGATATTATGCTGTATGTATTACATTAACTCTTACTTGTTTTTAAACAGATGAGCACATTTTTGGCTGCAAGCTCTTTCTCCAGCTACAAACTCCACTGATGTTCCGGACTGAAAATAATTTTCACAAAAATGAAGCCCATCTGCCTTGGCAGTTTCCTTCAATTTTGGTGGTATGTCTGTTTTTTCTGAGAATGCTACACAGAAGAAAGAAAGCAGTGAATACTCAAGATGACATAAAGGTTGGGGGGGAAAAAGCATATCAATAAATCATGTCAAACAAAATGACCAAGACTTTCAGCTGGGAAACACACCTAGCACATGTCTACCATTCCTTAAAGTAGCTGTATCTTTTATCCAGGATTTTGTGGCTGCTTTTGCGGCTGTAGAACAATCTATATTACAACTTGCATGCTCCAAAGCATCTTTTTGCTACTTTCCTGCACCTCTTTAATTACCAATACCCTTTTCAAAAGGGATTTCAGGCTTCCCACGAGCTATCAGTGCTGACACTTTAGAAAAATCTTACTGGCTTCATCTAAACCATTTACTCAACAACAATCTTATTTTCTCGGAGTGATGGTGAACAGTTTGATGAAGATATCAGTACAGCGTGCATTTGCTGTAAAAGTCAACAGCATGTCAGGGATAAATAGAATTTATACAGAAAATAGAAAAGCCGATATCATAAAACCATGGTTTTGTTTTTTGTATAGTTTTTATTTTTTAAAATATGTATTGTTTTAATAGTTTAATATATTTTAATTATTTTTCTATTTGTTTTATAACCTGTAAACTACCTAGAGTCGCTTTACAGTGGAGATGGGAGGAATAAAATTTTAATAAATAAACAAACAAATAAATAATGACTGTATATAAATCAATGTTGCAGCCACATCTAGAATATAGTGTGTAGTTTTTGGTTACCACATCTTCCAAAGGGTATAATGGAACTAGAGAAAGTCCAGAGGAAAGAAAGTAAGAAGATAAAAGGACTGCATCTTACAAGGAAATGTTGCAACTTTGGCGGCATTTATTTTAGAAAGGAACAAGAGAGAACATGAATAAGGTGTATAAAACTATAGGAAGTAACAACAGGAAGTATTTTTACACCATAAATAATTAAACTTTGGAATTTGGAGCCATGAGATATACCTTATATTCCAGCGTATAGGGTGACCCGGCGTATAAGACGACCCCCTAGTTTGACACCAGGTCGCAAGACCATCGACGCCGAGTCGCAAGACCATCGATGCCGAGTTGCATGCCTAGAAAGTCGTCTTATACGCCGGAAACTACCGTATTTCCGCCGTATAAGACGATCAACGCCGAGTCGCATGCCTAGAAAGTCGTCTTATACGCCAGAAACTACCTTATTTCCGGCATATAAGACGACTCGGCGTATAAGACGACCCCCGAGTTCGGAGGCTGTTTCAACGCTCTCAAAAGTCGTCTTATACGCCGGAATATACGGTAATACTGGCTACCAACTTAGCTGGATTCAAAAAAAGGGTTGGCCAAATTCGTGGAAGAATTCTTGCTTGTGTAACTGGTTGGCCACTGCGAGAACAGATGGATTAGATCCGTGGTGGTAAACCTATGGCACGGGTGCCAGAGGTGGCACTCAGAGCCCTCTCTGTGGGCACGTGCACCGTCCCCCCAGTCCTAGGCCTTCAGCTGGGTTTTATAAAAACCTTTTCACTTTAGGCCTCCGCCACCGTGTGCAAAAAAAAAAAAAAAGGTTCAATCAATCAATCAACTTCTCTCAGGAAAAAAAAAGATCTCGCAAAGTTGGAATTGATTGATTGAACTTTTTAGTCCCACCCAGTCTGCCATTACCCCAGCAGCCATGCCCACCCAATGGAACACACCCACTTAATGGGCCATGCCCACCCAGCACCCAATGATACATAAGTGGGTTTGGGATTGCAGTTTGGGCACTCGGTCTCTAAAAGGTTTGCCATCACTGGATTAGATTGACCAATAGTCGAATCCAGCAAGACACTTCTTAAGTCCTTACTAGTCAAGATTTAAATTACTATTTATATCAAGTGGTTTGCAAGCTTAAGAACTTTGGAAAAATATTCCATCAAACAGATTTCAATATATAAAAGCTATTGGACTGGATCCCAGATGAGCAAAATACTGCTCACGGGAATTCACAAGAGAAATAAGGACAAGTGATTTTTGATGAATTTGCCATCTTCCTGCAGAGATGTTCCAGAGGACTGTGAATCAGCATGTAGGCTGCAAGGCAATGAAAGAATTCCCAAATGAAATCTCCTTTAGACTCTCCCTATTGCTAAGAGTTTGTTGAACCTGGTCTCTTTCATAAATGAAAGATAAGCTCCTTTTCCTGGAAGCACAAGTCTGTATATATCCAGCATCTAAAGCAGGAATGGGCAATCTTCTGGTTATTGGTTATTGGAGAATCAAATATAAAATCTGGGGGAGGGTGAAACCATAGTGAGCAGGGAAATGAGTGGGCAGAACTGAAGTAGATGAAGTAATTTGTCTTTTTTTCCTAAATTGGGTTATGGTCACTTTGGGGCTTACAAAACAATTTGCAGGTGTTCCCACACAGCCTTATACCTCCCTGAGGCCAGAAACTGCCTACGTCAGCCCAGAACACAATTTAATTCAGTAGCTCTTTTCTGAAATATTCAGAATACTATCACCTAGTTCTTAATTGCTTCTTATTGGTTTTCCATGGGCACAAGAAGATTGTGTTTTAGTTTTACCACAGACAAATATATAGGAACCACAAAAACCTTAAACAATCTACGGAACTGCCTTCTCTGATCCTTTTACCTGGTGCCGTTTTTGTTTTATTTTTGTTCCGTCTTCTTTAAATGTGATTCTGTGAGCAGAGAGGTGGTGTTGTATATTACAAGAAAGCAGAAGCTTCAACCTTCTTCTAAGCAAAATTCATTAACAGTAAATTTTTAACTTTTAACATAAATCCTGCTGATTTGGAGCCAATGTTTACGTGAATGTTTTAACTGCATTTAACATGACTATTGTTTCCAGGCCAAGAGAGCAAGCACTTGATTTGGGCCCCATCCAGCAGACAAAAAAGGTCTTAGTCCTTTCTTTCCCTTGTGGCAGTAGCAGGGAAGGTAGAACAGCAAGGTTTTTTTAGGTGGAATGCTTAGATTATACCAAATGCGTATTTCTGGTCTCGGTCTTCACTTTCCCCCTCCCCCTCTATTATTTGCTGCCCCAAACTGTTTAAAAATGGGAATTTACGCTAGCACTACGATTCATTCCTTGAAACAAATTTTAGAGTATTTGTAGAACAATTCTGCTTAGATTCCATCTCTTCTTATTTAAAATATATGAGCATCAGAAATTATAATCTTGTCTAGGAAGCTAGACCCACTAATATCCCTATGAAATTGGGATGCCAAGAAACAAAATTAAAATCACTGCACTGACCTTCCTGGACAGTTGGCACCATCCAAGTTGTGGTAGCTGTAGCCTTCTTAACACTTTCCATCTCTGTTACATCGGTGATTACTTCTAGAGCACCAAATTCATTCACACAAAACTAATTTTAACATGTAAAAAAAACCAATATGAACAGGTAAGTTTTAGTTATCAACTGTAGTTTGTATATTGCACACACACACACACATACAGTACACACGTACATGGTGATATTTATTATTTTTCACCATACTGGCTCCTTAATTATCTCATTACTTATTTAAAATACCAATGGACAGAAAAATCAAAAGTAGCTTTTATATTGCTACATGTACAGCCAGCCTTTGACTTATAACCCTTGTTTGCAGACAAGTTGCAATGGCACTGAAAAAAGTGACTTACAACTGATCCTCCCCCTGACATCTACTGCAGCATCCTCATGGTCACGTGTTCAAAATTCAGACACTTGGCAATTAGTACATTATTTATATGATGGTTGCAGCATCCTGGTGTCATATGATTGCCATCTGCAACCTTTCCATCCATCTTCCAGCAAGCAAAGCAATGGGGGAATCGACTGATTCAGTTAATGGTGCTGTATCCCACTCAGTATCTAATTTATATCTTATCTTCTGAATTTTAAAAAACATCAGTCTCTCCCACATGAACTGAAACAACAGGCAAAGGCTGCTTATCCCTGAATGCATTTGTCTCGGTGAACATATTCCTGAGTTCAGAGTTTTCTATATATTCTTTTAAACATCTGTTCCAGTTTTAGACTGAACAAGGACCAGAATTCTAAGGATAGCATGCATATCAAAGATGAAAACATTGGGGAAAATAACAGAAAGCGTGAACGTAAAATAAACAAGGGTATATAATTAAATGATAGTAAAATTAAGGGAGGCTATTGAAAGAAAAAAATAGTAGAATGCCAGTACCATCTAGTGGTCACGTATAATTCCATTGAAAATACATTTGAGAATGAACTTTCTGAATGGGACTGAATGGCTTTATGCAGTTTCATTTTTCAACAACAAAAAAGACAACACCAATTTTTCTAGATAGCAGTTCCTGTCTCTGCTAACTTCTCCTTTCTCTTTTGTTTCCCCTGCAACAAATTTTGACTGTAAACACAAGAGGTAGGGGCTTTTTTTTCTGCTCTGCGCATACATATTAGCACTTTTATCTAGTTCAAAAATGAATTGTATACATAGTTTAGTCTAAAATCTTTTATGTGCTATTCGCTCATGTTACACATAACAACCCAGAATAAAAATTAATGTCATTTCAGCCAGTGCTAGATTACGTAAACATTCTTGATATTATGTTTCTTCACTATTGTGCCAAATTTTATTGTTTTCCTGATAAATTTCTACTTGCATTGTACTTATGCTCTTAAGAGAGGTCCAACTGAAATTAAATGTGTGTTTCTAGGGCAAGGGTGTCAAACTGGCGGCCCATGGGCCAGATGCAAAACCCCACCCACGCCATTGCCGGCAATAGGAAAAAAAAGTCACGATACGTCGTGACACGTCACATGGCGTTGCAAGTTTGACACCCCATTCTAGGGATATGGAAAACAGACCTACTCCATTTCAGTCTTTCACAAAGAAAAGTCTTGCTTTGTAAGTGGCAATGCATGGATATGGGGCTAATCAAACTGATGCCTTTGCCTTGAAGAACATGGCTTCTCTGCATGTGCAAAAATCACTTTGATCAGTCAAGAAAAAAATAACACAGCCACTTTGATCCACTACACCTTGTCCTCAACATATGACAACTTGTTTAACAACCAGCTGAGGTTGCAACAGCACTGAAAAAAGTGACTTACGACCGGTCCTTGCAGTTACAATTACCACAGGTTCCCTGCAGTCACTTGATTAATACCAGGGCGCTTGGCAAACAGCATGTATTTACAAAAGTTGTAGCATCCCTGGGTCATGTGATCACCATCTGCAATTTTCCCAGGGCGCTTCTGACAAGCAAAGTCAATGGGGAAGCCAAACTTGCTTAATGACCGTGGTAACTTACTTAACAACTATGGCAAAAAAAAAGTCAGAAAATCGCTTTGTGACAGAGGAGGCTGTGATCCTGTGTTTGTAAGTTGAGGACTACCTGTATTCAGCCACGTAAAGGTCAATTTGTGGGTTTGCTTCAAACGACTGCACTCTCAAGGCAAGCATATCTGTGACAACTGCACTTAACATTCAGGTGGTTAAAAATGGAAATAGCAGCAGCTGGGAGAATGGATTAGGACAGCAGCAGAAATAGAGGGAGAATTTAATTATTTTCTCTCCTGCTGTGGTCCTGAAGAGAATCCATCCTCTGATATCTGTTCTGAGGGACAGAATACTCTGGAGTTCAGCCTTCTAAGAGTGTGTTTTTTGCAGCTGGCTCCTGTTTGCTACCTTAGGTTCTACATATAATCAAAATAGCATCCCCAAGCCTTAAATCCCTTCACCCCTGCATCACACAATGACAATGGGAACTGCTTGTAAATGGAATGTACTAATACAGTTTCCAAGTAAGGGAAATGGAATAATTTAAGGCACTTTCAGATGCTTGCAAACCAGATTTGATAATAGATTTATTCCTGGCTAGCTCATTTTTGGCCATTAGGTTCTGGCACATGTCTGTTTCTGAATGTATTCCCAGGCTCAGCTATATCTATTTTCAGAATGCTTTTTTTAAAATAGACGCATTCACTTGTTTAGTTAGCAATAACAATGTACTAGGCATACTTGCAACGTCACTTTGAAAACAGGGCACTTGAAAAAGCACACAAGTACAAAAAAAAAAATGTTCCACATACTGCTACTTTATCAGGAAGCAATTTTAAATTATTGCAGCTTGTCCAATTTAATTGCAGCACTTGAATCCAAAGGTGATGGTGATTGTATGTACTCATCAGAATGATTCAGAAAAGCAGGGTCCTTCACTTTTATATATGCTCTTCAGTTTGGAAAATATCAACTTTTAAGTCCTTTACCCAGTTCACACCAATTGTAATATACTGAAGTGTTTCTGATTTGAACATACTCCTTTGCCTGACAAATGGAAAACTCCCAAACCTTGAAACTCTACAGCAGATGAAAGTTACTTATTGCATTAAATGTCAGACTGCTGCAGCATTTTTATTTCATTTTGTCTGAACATTTTACTCACAAATTTGGATGTTGAAATAATTTGCAACATACAATGTTTGAAGCAAATCTGAATAATGAATGAAAGACCCATTTTCTTGCAGGCAGTCTTCACTAGGAAAAAATAGTTCATATATGAAATTGCTTTCTATAAATAACCCACCATTTTATACTAAAAACAAGAAAAATAACAGTGCAGTGTGATTTTTTTTTAGATAATTCAAAGGATCTGTGTTTTAATGTACTACTAATAAATATTTTTTGTGGAACGATCCTTTGTTTGATCTTAAGAAGAAAGATCAACAAAGGATCATTCCACAGGCTAGGAAGAAGTTTCTCATACCGACTAGGATTGTTGTTGGTGTGATTCTAAGCCTTTTCACTTAATAAAAATCTTAATTCACCATTTGAATTATTAAAAACAATCTGTTCTGGATCAAGCTGATGAATTAAATTTTATAGAATTGCCTTAAGATCCTCCTCAAACTATGCATTTTCAAAGTCCTACCCTGAAAACTGCCCTGACATTTTGCAATGTGAGGCAATCCGAATAAAATTGATCCACTTTCTTGAGTATCATAAGTAATGATACCTTTATTGTTTAAAAATGGGCAACATCTTTCATCTAATACACAGGTCGGCAACCTGCGGCTCCAGAGCCGCATGCAGCTCTTTGAGCCTTCCCCTGTGGCTCCCAGCCTCCTCTGCCATTTACAGAGACAGAGAGAGGCAATTGCGCTTCCCTGCTTCTCTCTCTCTCTCTCTCTCTCTCTCTCTGTGTGTGTGTGTGTGTGTAAAAGAGAGTGCACTCACAGTGTTCTCCAAGGAGCTGAAAAGCTTATTGGGTGGAGTTCCTCCCTTTGCTGTGTCTCAGCAGGAAGGGCAGGAGAGAGCTAGCTAGCCCAGCTATGCTGACTCAGGAATTCTGGGAGTTGAAGTCCATGAGTCATAAAAGAGCTGAGGTTGCCTACCCCTGAGCTTGTTGGAGAACAGCTTGAAGCCAGCTTGCCAGGTGAGCAGCAGATAGGAGAGAGGGAAAGAGGGGAGGGAGAGAAGAGAGAGAGAGAAAGAGAGAGAGAAAGAGAGAGAGAGGAAAGAGAGAGAGAGAAAGAAAGAGACTGGGGGAAGAGGACTGGCAGACCAAGGATAGATAGAGTGGCAGATAGAGAGAGAAGAAGGGAGAGAGAAAGACAGAGAGAGACCCTTTTGACATCTAAAATGAAGATAACACTGCATATATCCTTTTTTACCTGTGTGTGTATGTGGTATGTGTGTGTATATATATATGTATGTATGTGTGTGTGTGTATATATATATATATATATATATACACACATACATACACACATACATACATACACACACACACACACACACACACACACACACATACCTATAATAAAGGTAAAAAAGGATATATGCAGCGTTATCTTCATTTTAGATATCAAAAGGGTTTCCCACCGGTGTTTTGTTTTCGGTGGGAAACGGGTCCAAGTGGCTCTTTGAGTATTTTGGGTTGCCTACTCCTGATCTAATTTCATTATAAATAAGATTGCTTCAAACTGCTGTTATTCCAAAGTGGGAGAGTTCTTCTCACATTTTCCTAATTAAAGAACCCTAATCAACTATAACAGAAGGATTATGCATGATTAGTTCAGTATGAGTAAAGTATGACGTGTATTTAGGTGGGAAGAATAAGTTGAATACAAATGCTGGAGACAGAGAAGAACGAGTAATGACAAGACTGTAGGTGCTGCAGAAAAATAAAAAAAAATCTAATGCTCAACTAAGACACTTTCCATGCGTTGAAGCTGGGGGAAGGGTATTTGAAAAAATATATATATTTGGCCTACATTTAGACTTGGTCATATTTTTAAGCAACTTAGAGAAATAATAAATTAATAATAAAAATCTTCTGGCATTATTGCTGCATTAATCTCTTTTCCAATGGAAACCCCAAGTCATTTTAGTTAGAAAGCCACTTTCCAAAATGTAAGCAAGCAGATAGGAGCAGGAAGTCATCTCCTCAGCACAAGGAAGGCAATGAAGAACAAAAAGCCTGTGTTTAAAAGCCTGTATTTAAAGTCTGCCCTTTCTGCACAGAAGGAAGCTGATGAGGCCAAGCTTTCTCCTCAAACACACACCTATACCTTATTTAAAAATTATGCTTAAAGAATAAAACATAGATGTGAAACATCCTTTATTTATTCATTCAGAAATTCAAAAGGACAAGGAGGGACAATAATAGCAGTGTTCCAATATCTCGGGTTACCACAATGAAGAGGGAGTCAAGCTATTCTCCAAGGTGCCTGAAGGCAGAACAAGAAGGAATGGATGAAAACTAATCAAGGAGAGAAGCAACCTAGAACTAAGGAGAAACTTCCTGACAGTTAGAACAATTAACCAGTGGAGCAACCTGCCTCCAGAAGCAGTGAATGCTCCAACACTGGAAGTTTTTAAGAAGAGACTGGACAGCCATTTGTCTGAAATGGTGTAGGGTTCCTGCCTGAGCAGGGGGTTGGACTCGATGACCTCCAAGGTCCCTTCCAACTTTATTATTATTATTATTATTATTATTATTACTACTACTACTACTACTACTACTACTACTACTACTACTACTACTACTACTACTATATTTAAGTTTCAGCTTAGAAAGAAGAGAAAAAGAGATAGGAGAAAAGATGAAAGCACCAGAGGCAAAACAGCATGATCCTTGAAAACTTAATAGGACACATTTCATTTCCCTCAATTAAACGTTCTGAACGCTGAGCATGGAAATGTTGTACAACAGTCTAGGAGTGGAACTAGAGCTGAGGAGATAATTTGGAATCAAATCTCCATTCAGCTCCATAGAACTGCACACTGGAATTGCTTTAAGATCTTTGTGTATACCCCCAAATAAATATGAAAAAAAATGTATTTCTTTGTCACTATTTGTGATCAAATGATACATTTGACAAGTTTTTCTCTTTGCAGTATTTATTGGAGATGATTCTTTATATGAGCATACACATGTAGAGATGTGACCTCTAGGGTTTAGCCCTCAGAATTACAGATAATTGTCAGTTAATGATCATTTGTTCAGCAACCATTAGCAATTATGATGGCACTGAAGTTTATGGACAATCCTCAGTATTGCAGCCACATGACTCAATGTTGCAGTCATGTGATTGTGATTCAACTACTTAGCAAATGGACTCAATTACAAGGTTGCAGTGTCCCATGGTCACGTGATCACCCTTTGCAACCTTCCCTTCCAGCTTCTAACAGACAAAATCACTTAGAAAGCTGGTAGCAGACTGCAAATGGCAATCACATGACATCACATCTGATGACCATGCAGGATTCACCTAACGACTGCAACTGAACTGCCAGAATTGCTGTCATTAAGTCAGCATTCATGTGACTTTGCGTTTTACAACCATGCCATTTTACAATCGAGTTCCCTGTCCCATTTATCATTGTTTTCCCAATGACTTCCTTTTCAGTGTTTTCATTCCTAAAACAGTTCCTTACTCCATGAAATAACAATGAATGCCTTTATGATTGGTTGAAGCTTGCATATAACTGCAATTCAATCTTCCAAAATCATGTTCATATTACTGGATCAGCAAACTTTCTATGAGGTGGTGATCATATGAGTGCAGGATGCTGCAACCGCTGTAAATACATGCCAGTTGCCAAGTGCCAGAATTCTGATCATATGTGGAGATGCTGTGAGAGTTGTAGTTGTGTGGGTATATCCCAACTATGAGATGAGTTTCTTTCCAAAGCTCCTTACTTTTTTGTAGTTAATATGTTAAAGTTAAAATCTAAGATTAATATGCTGTTCTTGTTTTTACTCTGTCATTTTATTGCTTCTTTTATATTATGGACTGATACCTTTATTGTTATTTTACTGCTATGTAATATTTTACAATTAAAAATAACCTGCGTTTTGTTCTTTTGTTCTTTAACTAAAATAATCACACCTTTTTATGAAACAGTATACATCGCTCTGTGTACATCTCTGCAATTACAGTACCTTCAAATCGCTTCCAGGCAAGGTACCAATTCCATCTTTCCAGTCCATTACACTAAATACATCAAAATCTTGCCCATTTCCACTACAAGCTGGTTCATTCATGGTGGATACCCTGTAAAATAAATCAGGAAGCTTATATATCTAATTCAATTTCATATTGGTTTATCTAAAACACTGTATTATCAGATAATTTTTAAAAAATTCATCTGTTTGATATTATTTAATAACAAGTTTTACATGATTCCAAAATTCACAAAAGCCTTTTAGAATCAAGGAAAATGTCAAGATTAGTGTGAAACTTCTCACTTGACTGGGATTCTTCATCATCTTGGATATTATTAAATTGAGTCCCTGGGAAAGAAATATAGGACCCAGAAAAGTCTGTGTTCACAAAGACTGTTAAAATATAATGCAAAGGAAATAGAACTTGCATACTTACTCAGAGGTAAGCCCCACTGAATTTAATGGAAATTATCCAAAAGTTAAATTTACCTATCACTGCTAGAATAAAGGAGCTAACATTACTCACCATGTGTATATTTTCAAGATATAAAAAACTACCTTGATCAATAAGCAAAATGATTCCCATACAATTAAAATTAATTTCCAGCTTTGGTAATATAAAAATTGCTATTTTATCAAGGAATCTAAATTTTTTAAAGCTGGAAAACAAGTAGTAAGAATAGGAATGTCAATAGCACTTAGACTTATATACCGCTTCATAGTGTTTTACAGCACTCTCTGAGCGGTTTCCAGAGTCAGCATATTGCCCCCAACAATCTGGGTCCTCATTTTACCGACGTTGGAAGGACGGAAGGCTGAGTCAAGCTTGAGCTGGACAAGATCGAACTTCTGAAGTGAGCAGTGAGTTAGCCTATAGTACTGCATTCTAACCACTACACCACCATGGCTCATTGTAAGAAACAACTTAATTTAATTTTTTTTAATTATAATTGTATTAAACATTACAATTAAAAAATTCAAACTAAGAAAAAGAAAAGAATAAAACAAAACTTTTGTTTTCACTTTCAAATTAATTTCAGTCTTGTTCAGTAAAACTTCTTGTTCTTCCATAACTTTTTTTTAAAACTCAGTCTGTTTGTAATGGCAGATTCTCTTGAAATTAACTTCTGGGTTCATTATTTACAAATATCTCACAATACATCCAATGTTGAAGTATTTTGCTCCATGTTATTTTAGTAAGTCAAATTTAAGTATTCTTGTCCTTTAATTGTACTATTTAGTTGTCTTTAGTTCCCTCGAATGTATCCAACTTTGAAAATTCCTTCTTTTTTTAAGAATTCAAAACAATAGATTTTTCTCATGGAAAGAATTCTTATAATTAATTCCAAAATTTTATTTCAAATCCATATCAACTTAGTCCATTTGTAATTTTCCAAAATCAATGTTCTAATTGTCCTTTTGCAGTTTATTCCAAAAAGAGAATTTTTTTTAAAGTCCTTATATTTAAAGGTTCTTTCTTAAATTAAAAGTCCTTATATTTAAAGGTTCTTTCTTAAATTAAAGGAAGCTCCTCCAATGCTGTAAGTCGGGGGTCTCCAAACTTGGCCCTTTTATGACTTGTGGACTTCAACTCCCAGAATTCCTCAGCCAGGCATAAAAGGGCCAAAGTTTGAAGACCCCTGCTGTAACTCTTGTCGTTTCAAAGGTTCATAAAAGCTGAAAAGTAGTTAATGGTCCATTTCAAAAAGTTATTGGGATAGGAAGTATGAAAATCCTAGGTCCATAAAGGCACAGACCATGGCTTGGGCAAAGGTGGCATTCTTTCATCTCCCAGAGGTCTAAACCTGCTTAAGACCACTGCCCTGTGGGACTCCTCCTCCTCGTGTGCGACCCCAAGTCATCTCCCTGACTGTAGAAGAATTCTGAAGAACCAGTCCACTCACAGGCTCTTCATTCTGTTGCAGTCACTGGGTCTGTTCTGTCTTCGGTTTGCTGTTTCCTCCCCAGAAGTCCTGTGTTTCAGCATAATATTATTTGGGAATTTACCCTGGCATTTGATGCCTTCTAATAGCACTGCTACAATAATAGCCTTTTTATATACTTTACAAAGTTTAAGCTTTTAAATTGCTTTATACGTTTTATTGGAAACACAGTATTTTAATGCACGCAGAGCTGGCAGACGCTTGGAATGGGAAGTGCTATAAAAATATTTAAAAGAAATTTAAAAAAAAACCATGATAAATCCTATGATATTTTTAATTCCAAACTCTTCATTTTAATTTTTGTCTCGTAACTAGAGGATGCTAATTATGCAACTGCTTAATTTATAATTTCAGATGCTGTAAGAACAAGAGAGATAAATATAGATTTAATCTATTTTATTTTTATTTATTTCAGTCAGATCCAAAAGATATAGACTTAATATAATTGAAATAATGGAACTGAGATAGAATAAACCTTACTTGTAAGAATAGATTTCACTAAAAGTTTATTAGGACATATCCTTTAGCTATGAATCCATCATTATGATGAATTCATTGGTTTCAACAAGAACAAAAATATATATTTTTAATCTAGGATACAGTTCAAAATTGAAGATATTTATGATAATTACATAAATCAAATTAAATGCTGGTGTTTATTGCTCTTTACAATTCAAATCATAATCAAATATTTATTCTGTTGTATGGTCACAAAAGCAGTGATCTTAACAACTTCAGTTTGCCATGATTTCAAAGATTTAAAATGAAAACTGACTCTAAATTGTAGAATTTGTCATAATTAATTCATTGATCAACCAGATTTACCTCCACGAAGCAATTTGCCAAAAAAACAAAAGAGCTATCACCCTTCAAAACAATATCAACTGCTTCTTACACTAGGGCAGTGGTTCTCAACCTGTGGGTCGGGACCCCATTTGGGGTCGAATGACCATTTCACGGCGGTCGCCAAACCATGCTGTCCGCCATTTTTTTCCCTTTTCCCTAGCTGTCCTACTCCCTCTTATTGGTGGCCACACCCACTTGGGGGTCACCACAACATGGGGAACTGTATTATGGGGTCACGGCATTAGAAAGGTTGAGGATCACTGCACTAGGGCAAGGGTGTCAAACTCAATTTCATTGAGGGCCGCATCAGCATTGCAGTTGACCTCGGGAGGGCGACAGGTAGCTGTGGCCAGGGTGGTGCGGCCTACTGGGTGGGCGTGGATGGAGTGGGTGTGGCCTATTGGGTGGGCATGGCCAGCTCTACATCGTTCGTGTCAAGGTTGCCGGTGGGGGCCGGGGCAGGAGTGGGACAGATCTCAGGGTCTCTGGCAGAAAGGGGTGGGATCAGGGCAAGCGCCAAGGCATAGTTCATTTCTTCATTCCTCACAAAGAGTGACACCTCCCTAGCACGCACCTAGGGGGCAGGGGCGACGCGGCAGGGGCTAGTTCCTTGCTGTTTCTAGACGGCCTTGTGGAGCTAAGACTGAATGTGTTTCAGCATAGATGGCCACCACAAAATTGTACATTGGCTCCCAGTCGGCCTGGGCCAGGGTCAAGGCAGCGGGGGCCATTCCCCCTCACTGTTTCCAGGATGGCTTTGTGGGCCACATGAAACCACTTCGCGGGCCACATCTGCCTTGTGTTTGACATGTCTGCACTAGGGAAACTAATGACACTTGCAGGGAAATAAACCTTAACGTTCAGAGAAAAAAAGCTGCATCAGATAAAAATACTGTCAGTCCAGGATTCTGCTTTCAAAGTATTTTACTACTTCACGTACAGGTGCATGTATAACACTAGTTTTAGACTAACAACCCAGAAGAAACTGACAAGAGTATTCCACATAACATTAACATCTGTAATATTAAAATATTATTATTACATTTTTATCCCACCAGCCAGCAATCTACAATCTCTCTCCCTCTCTCTCCCTCTCTCTCCCTCTCTCTCACACACACACACATACACATATATATATACATACATACATACAGGACTTTTTTTTCTCATAGAACGCCCAGAACGGAGTTCTGGCACCTTTTTTGGATGGAACCTTGTAGGGTAGGCAAAGCGGATTGTATGATGTGTGTGAGTTCCGGCACTTTTGTTTTTGTTTTTTTTTTTTAAGAAAAAAAGCACTGCATACATACACACACACACATAGGTGAACTTATCTAATATAGTATTCCTCCCTACTATTTCCTCATAATTATAAACTTATATATACATTAAATATTGTTCCAAAAAGATATTGATAATTCATAAGAACAAATCATGTAATTTAATGACCTCTCACATTTCTTTCGTTGCCAACAGACAAAATATGACACCCAGCCAAACTATTAACAAAAAGCTCTCTCTCCCAATCACTTTTATCTGTGATTAGTGTTTTAGTTCATAATGGCTAATAAAGTGTATAGAAACAGTTTGACCTAATAATCTGGATCAGTAAGTGCTTGTGAATAATACTTCGTTCCTGCCTTAAAAATCTGTGGTACCCTAGTTTCCTTCTATGTTCTCAAATTTTGGGCCCAAGAATCTAAGATGAGGAATACACTCTGTAGAGTTACAGGTATAAACAGCAGAAGGTGAATCCGTACCTATGGGAATCCAATTGTGTTCTAACAAATGCCACTGTAAAATGTTTTTTTTTAAAAAAAACCAAAAACCATTCATTTTTCATCATTTCTGTATATACTGTATATCAGTGATGGCGAACCTATGGCACGGGTGTCAGAGGCGGCACTCAGAGCTCTCTCTATGAGCACGTGCGCCGTCGCCCCAGTCCTACAGCTGGGTTTTATAAAACCTTTTTGCTTTAGGCCTCCGCCGCTGTGTACAAAAAAAAAAGGTTCAATCAGTCAATTTCAACTTCTCGCGGGGAAAAAAAGATATTGCAAAGTTGGAATTGATTGAACTTTTTAGTCCCACCCAGTCTGCTACCACCGCAGCCACGCCCACCCAATAGGCCACACCCACCCAGCACCCGATGATGCATATGTGGGTTTTGGGTTGCAGTTTGGGCACTCGGTCTCTAAAAGGTTCGCCATCACTGTTGTATATAATATCAATAGAAGTATCAATAGCACTTAGACTTATATACTGCCCCATAGTTCTCTTGGGGCAGTTTACAATGTCAGCGTATTGCTCCCAACAATCTGGATCATCATTTTACTGACGTTAGAAGAATGGAAAGCTGAGTCAATCTTGAGCCGTGTCAGATTCAAACTCCTGGTTGTGGGCAGAATCAGCCTGCAATACTGCATTCTAACCACTATACCACCAGTGCTCATAATAACTTTCTGCAACAGTGAAAATCCAGTAGTTCGAAATCAACATCCTTTAAAAGCAATGAAAGTTGCTTTCACTGTGAATGAGGAAATAGTGTCACGGATAGCCATCACAGATGGGCTCTACCACCTACGTTTTCCCCCTTTTTTAAAGGCACACATGCATACCTTAAATCAAATATGCTCAAATATAATAATCAAAAACATTTACCGTATTTATGTTCTGACAGTGCTTTTTGATGCTCTTCAAAATTTCAATATAGAGTAGTAAGTACCAAGGGAAATGAAATGTGCCCCAATGAACCATATGGCCTACCTAAACTATCCATGTTGGTTCCATTTTGATTTTTAATTATACTTTTGTTTTATTCTTACACTGTGGGAATCATTTCAATTTTGAAAAGTGCTAAATAGTTGCCAACCTTCGTTCCAAAAGCTTATGGATAAAACATTGAGTAAACGAAAGAAATATCTGTAAGGAATACATATTCTAAAATATTGCAAGTACAGAAATGTTAAAGATAATAAATTACATAATTTGGCTGGTGTCATATGCTCAGATGAGTGTCCAGATATAGTAAATAATACGTATTGTACAAATATAAAATAATGAAATAGATTTGTCAACTGAAGAAATTGCTCTTTAAAGTTCATGCACCAAATTGGCATTTTTTGCTAAGCTATACAGTTGCATTAATTATGAACGCAAATGGTTACGGTGAACAAGTTACCTGTGTCCTGAACAGGTGAGCTAAGCATGATTTCAAATGCAGAATTCTGGTACCATTCATTTGGAAGTCGGCAGACAACAAAGAAAAATTCCTTATCAATTGAAAATGAAGTGAGAATTCTGGGGCTCATAGCCCAATGCGTCCTCCCGAATGGGGAAGGTTGTTTTAATATGCCAACTTCAAAAACTCAAATATGAAAGCAATGAGATTCCTAAGCGAGATGCTGAAATATAGTGTTATTACCAAGGAACAGGATTCCAAGGGCTGAAAAGTCATTCTCGTTAGACAAGGCCTCGTCAATTTGAGCCAGTGCTATTATGTTTCAGAGAAAAACATTATCAGTAAGTATTTAATCTTCAAGAAAAAGACCATCTGAAACAAAACCTCAGTTGTGTGAATCAGAAGGCTCTAACTATGGCACACTGGACCTAGCCATATCTTCAAGTGCAAGGCAGGAAAGTGGAGAGACAGGGCCAGCCTTATGTATGAAAGAAAATCTCGCTTACTAGGTAACATGTCTATAATGTGGTCAAGCATGTTATTTAATACTTGCTACATAGAATAGGTGAAGAATTTCGTTAGCACCACCACCTAAAGCAGTGGGTAGTGAACCTATGGCACGGGTGCCAGAGGCGGCACTTGGAGCCCTCTCTGTGGGCACACGTGCTGTTGCTCCAGCCTCGCCTCCCCCCGCAACCCCCTCTTCTCCAGCAGCCCCCCTGAAGGACAGTCACTCCCGAGCGTGGCCCAAGCGGAGCAGCGCAGCCAAGGACATGGAAGCCAGACAGCATAGACAAGACTCTGCCCTCACACCCCATTGTTCACAGCTGATGCTGCAGGGCATGGGCAGAGGGTGTGGCCGCCATAGCGCTGCTAGGCTGCCTGGGCGATCTGCGGCAGGCCCTGGAGGCGGTGCCCTGTGGGCAGGCAGGGCAGGGGATGGGGGCGGAGCGGGGGTGGGGCAGGGGTGGAGTGGGGACAGGGCGGGGCCAGTTTTGGGGCACTCGATCTCTAAAAGGTTCGCCATCACTGACCTAAAGGATTCCTTGACTACATTGTATTTAATCTACTCTTTAACCGTCTTAGAGGTTCCCAGGCCTGTCAGAGAATAAAAGCAATGTTTAAGTAAACCATGTAGATAAATTAAAAATGTATTAATAAAAACATCCCCCTAAAATCAAGTAAGCAGCTGAATTAAAAGATCAAGCCACAGTACATCCTCCAATGGGCCAACATAGTGTGGAACCTGCATCCGAGACATGAGCTCATTCCAAGGCCTTGAACTGATTGAGATGAAAGCCATTTGCTCAGCGCTATTTTATTTTGCTTAGAGATTAGATTGGAAGGTAAATTTAAACTTGAGCTTGGAAGGTAAAACAAGAGTGACAGCCATTCTTGAAAATATTTGAGAACCAGATTATGAGAGGCATTACTGATAATCCTCAATTTACAACCATTTGTTTAGTGACCATTCAAAGATACAACGGCACTGAAAAGAGTAACTTAGCACCGGTTTTCACACTTATGACCACTGCGGCATACCCTGTGGTCACTTGATCAAAATTCGGATGCTTGGCAACAGGCATGTATTTATGATGGCTGCACATCCTGGGATCATGTGATCACCATTTGTAACCTTCCCAGCCAGCTTCCGACAACCAAAGTCAATGGGGGAAGCGAGATTCACTTAACAACTGCATGATTCACTTGTGGCAAAAGGGTCATAAAATGGGACACAACTCGCTTAACAACTGTCCTGCTTAGCAGTGGAAATTTTAAGCTTCGTTGTGATTGTACATGGAGGACTACCTGTATAAGGTTACACCAATAACCTGAATTAAGTCTGTATAACAAAAATCATTCAAATGTATTTGTGAAATTTTACTTCCATAAGGGATTCATAGCAATATTTGCACTAGTTACAATTCTGCATGGTTTTCCAGTGC